GACCCATGAACCGAGAAGCGAGAAAGCCATTTCTATTAAACTATCTACGAATTTTCAAACGGAAATTTATATATCCATTATTATTTCACGCAAGGCGAGAGGAAAAAGCATTGCGTGTTATCTGGAAATTTTATTTTTTCATGAAAACAACGCATCGAGGAATTATTTATTCGAGCATCCGTAGAGAGAAGATGTAGAAGAATGTACAAGGTATAATGACATTAAAATGTTTTATCACGTTTTATGGCTCAATTATTATGAATCACCGGACACGTATTACTTCACATTGATACTCTACATTAATTAGCCGACATGACGATGAGTAACGAGATTGCGAAAGCAAGGTTTCACGCAACATCGTGGTTTACGTTGTGCGCCGGGAGTTACGAAAAAAGGCAGGCCAAATCGCATCGCGAAGCGGATCGTAAAAACGACACACGCGTGCGCGAAGCGAAGAAGGTATAAATTAGCGACCGGTCGTATATACTCGCGGGGCTAAAATACGGCATAAAAGGCGTTTATGCAGTCGCGTTGCCGTCGAAAGCTCGCGGCACGTGCTGGGTTAAGCAGATGGCGGTAAAATGATTATGCGAATTATAGCTGCGCAACGTTGTCGGCTACATCGTCCGCTTTTCAATCTCGGTTTCCACGTTTGCGGCGTGTTAATTAATGACGCTTATTACCGTCGATGTGTTTATAAGCTTTGACGGATTCACGGAGCGATAGGTCAACTTATTTGAAACGATCTCTGGCACGTAAGCGCCCGAGAAGTGGATCGAAGGTCTAATAATCACGAGCCTTAAATAACGCGATACGAGGAAAACAGGAAAATTGAAATGAAAACATGCAAATGAAAAAATCGATTTGACCCCGTTGCGTGATGATTAACATATTATTGATTATTGATTTATCATTCTGTATAAATAGCTCAATTATACGTTATTACTTCTGGAAATAAGGAATTGATCAAATTCTGGAAATAAAGAATTCTCACAGATGTTCAACGTCATACGAGTTCTTTCTCGCGGTTACCTCATATGTAATTTTCTTCCTACAAAAGGCTATTTATTTAAGGAAGCAGGCTCTGTTGCGACATCAAATGGCTAAACTATCTATTTTATCCTTTTATTCCGTTTCTCTAACGAGGTAACATATCCGTATATTCCTTTTTCCATTTTCTTTTTCATGTATTTGATTATATTTTAATCGGCGCTTTTTGCCGAGTAAACTTTTTTGAACTTTAATTATGGCTCGATTAAAGTCGATTCGTTTGCCTTTCATTATACTTTCATTAACTTTGGACAAAAATAATAATTTCTGTAAACCAAGCTATCCAATCATAATTTATTTATTTCTGATTTAAAAAAAATAAATAATAATAATAATCAGCAATTTTCGCAAAAAAAGATGTATAAGGATGTATCGAAAAATATGATTTTACAGAAGAAAGTACTTTAAAGAGATTTTAACATCATCTCTTTTTTAGATGTTTTTTTAAAGATTTAGATATTATAATTAGATATTTTTTATATTATAAAAAATCATTTTGTATAGTTCAAAGTGTATAAAAGTCAACTATTTCAAAAAATACAAAACGATTTCAATATTTTAGTCATTTTTAAACGCATACTTTTCGCCATCTTAAGAAGGCTTCTTTAAATTTTACTCTCCGTTCATTTTGCTACGTTAGGTCTAAACGAGAAACGCGTCATGAACAAGCTCAATTGATGAATTAAAAAAATATTTCGATGCAAAGGTACTTGTGCTCTTAAGAGTTATAAAGAGATGCCTCGCAATTTCGAGAAATTCGAGATGAAACAGCCTGTATAGGAATAGGGAGAGACTGCAATCGGTATCTTGTCGTTGGACGAGGATACACGTGAAGCCGAGAACGACGGCGTAATCGACGGTGCGTAAACCCGGCAGAGGAACCGACCGACCGACCGACCGACCGACCGTGCGAGAGAGCGCGGACGTGAACTCTTCTAAAAATAATACCCGCTCGAAAACGAGAGAACGCGAACGCTGCTCCGTCGCCGACCAAACATTGCCGAGTAAACGAATGAACGAACGAACGACGGAACTTTGTCGTGACCCTTTCGAACTTGCGGATAGATTCAGGGACGAATTTATTATGCGAATTATTTTCCTCGGGTCAAAGTATTAATAGCGTGGGTTTTTTTCAACTGCACTTTGTTACGCTCGCTGCATGCAAAATAAAGTCGATGTGTATATATTTGAATGTTTATTGGGGCAAGATAAATGTTGCTATAGGATATAATGCGTGGAAAGTGTCGACTTTTACGTGTTTTTAGTTTTTCTTTGAGTGTAGAAGTTTAAAGACACAAAAATTATATTTTTTTTCATGACGCATTCAATCGGGAATAAGAGAAAAAGGAGGATGTACGCATGAAAAGAACAAAGGAAAGAAGAGAAAGGAGAGAGAAATCTATTTATTGTAAGGGAAAAGATGCGAGTAAATACGCTATAGGAATGCAAAATACGGGCAACACTTGACTCGACCGCTATTTTAAATGCAAATACTATGTCGACTGTTTATCTCAATGAGCTTGATTATTAATCGGTACATTTATGTACATAATATAAATACATAAAAATATAAATACATAAAAATAAGATGAGAACGTGCAGCTGAGATAAATCGCGAGTGTAAAATTTTAATTTTTCTTGATCTTTCTAGATGAATATGAATCACATTTCTCATAATCTTGAAAAACACGCAATACGTAAACTGATGCTCGCAAATAAATCGTAAATTAATCGCAAATAATTCAAATAAAAAAATCTTTAACAAATTAACGAGATGAATAATATTTATCTTCCGGCTCGTTGAAATTTCTCAATCGACCTATAGAAACATTTATCTCTCTAAAGAATTTTTTCAAACCGTTTCACAATTTCTTTCTTATTCTAATATACTCCACGCTATAGGAAACTTCCAGATGTATAACAATGAATAAAAGATGAAAGATATAAGGAAATAAAATTAAACTCGCAAATTCTTTCACAGTAATCTGTATCCTATTGTCGCACAGTTGTAATAAAATATTGTACAACGAATTACGAGAGAGATCGGGAAAATTATGTCTCTCATACAAGAGTGTCGTCGACGTCGACGTGAGAATTGGGCGGAAACTCGTCGCACTGGAAAACGTTACCGAGCCATCCGTCAACGCGCACAATAATGCGGTATTCGGGAAGGGGGAGGGGAGGGGAGGTGGAGACTTTCTATGTAGACACACGACGGTCGAGAGTTTAGTGTACCACGGCAAAGCACCGTTAGAACACTAAACTTTTATTACGACCCGTTTTCCCTCGCGTAGAGGATATCGGCATCGCTTTAGGATCCCAACAACAACGCGACGGTTAATCGGTAAAAATCTCGAGAAAGAAAGAAAGAGGGTCACCTACCGATAAAATCATGCGAGATGTTTGAACGCGAAAAGGAAACGTGAATGTTAAACCCTTTGTGGAGCGATGTAAGTTCGAGGAAACGTCCCACATGTTTGTTCGCCGCTTATTTAAAGTCGTTTTAGGAATCATGCGGTACGGGTCTTCTTTTTATTTAATAAACATATGAAAATGAACGATGCGGTATAAGATGAAAGTGCGCTCATATTTGTACGAATAATCGATATATTAAATTCACGTATATTAAATTCATAAACAAATTAATCTTCATTATATATTAAATTCAATTATTTCATTATATCATATTTTATATTTATTATATTGAATAAATGAAATATGATAAAAATATGAAATTCAATGCGCGTATAATCGATAAGTAACGACACGAACATTTCGGAGTAAAAAAAGCCAATCATCCCGTGACTGTCGGAAACGGAGAAAGGAAACATCTGATGTAAGATGAGCGTCCTACTCGTCATTGATTACTTTCGCTCTAAGAAAAACCGATGCTAGGTTCCATGCATATTTGCGTTTCGGATACGACCACACGTCGTATCCGTTGATATTACCTCGTGCAACGGATAATAATTTCGAGTCGCGGAGAACGCTAAAATTACATCGCGACAAACGTGAGAACCTGACGATTATCGTCAAGCGCGTCGTGTTCGTTAAAAAAGTCCGCTTTGTTTATAAATAGCGATTCGCGAATTTACGTTAATCAGCGGGACTTTACCGCATTGCAAAACCGCGCGCCTACTGTTTATAGTTAGCGACGCGTTAATCAGCGGGCGTCTGAAAACAGTGGGCGACGCGCTCGATATAAGCGCGCGATGCACCAAAATAATCAGTCGTTCGGCCGAAAGGAGGGAAGGGTCGATGGGGAGGAGACGGTGAGGGAGAGAAAGAGAAAGAGGTAGATAGCAGGCATCTACGAACCTATAAACACACGACGGCCCGGCACAGAGAGGTCGAGAGAAAGAGAAAGAGGGAGAGAGAGAAAGAGAGAGAAAGAGGGATCGAATGCGGACGGACGGACGGATGGACGGACGGACGGACGGACGGCCAACAGCGGCAGACACGGTCGTCGGTCGCGTAACCGCGGTACAACGACCCCCGCGCGAGTCCTCTCTCCTCTCTACTCTCGTCCGAGCGTCGCGCTAATTACGACGCTCTCCTTCGACGATCGGGGAAGCGAATAGAGCGAGACCGATTTCGAAAGCGAGTCGACGACGATGCTTCTGGCCTCGGGCGAGAGTAACGCGAGAAGACGCTCGTCTCTCGCGCGATACGCGCGACGAGAAACCGAGTGATTCGAACGCGTCGTCATTTGTTGTCGTAGCGCGATATTAGGTTTCACCAGGTACATTATCGTCGAGACAGAAGTCGTCCCGATATGGAGATGCGACGAGACGTCGTCCCTAGTTCCGGAAAATAAATAATTCATTCGCGCGCGATCGGTATTCGATTCGAGATCGCGCAGATTCGTCCGCTCCCGATTCACGAGAATCTATCAGACCTATCGCGCTCGCTCTCGCTCCTCTCCTCTCACCATCGTCTCGCTCACTCACCTGTCAGAGCTCTCGGAGCTGTCGTATCGATCGGCGCACCGCTTCTTGCCGCAGGGTCCTACGAGGGTATCCTCGGCCATCCTAACCTGTCCCTTGAACGGGCTGCCCTGGTCCGTCTTCGTAGCCGCGGCGGCGTCCTCGCCGAGCGCTCGCGTCTCTTGTTCCGCCATCGGCTTCGCCTCCCTCGTCGTCGTTGCGACTACGGCGACGCTCGCTCTCCTCCTGCCGCCGTCGCGATCCTCGCGGTCGTTCACTTCCGGCGCGCCGTCCGCGCTCGAGCGTCGCGGCGACGACGACGACGAGTCGGTCGCCGCGTTATTATTATTACCACCGGTCATGATTAGCGCGACACCACCAGCACCACTTTTACTAGCACTAATATTATTTCTCCTGCCACCACTATCACCGTCGCGGTCACTATCGACGCCGCCGCTGCCGTCGTAATAATCGTCGTCGTCGTCGTCGCCGTCCCCGTCGTCGTCCTCGTCGTCGTCGTCGTCCTCGGACACGACGCTACGGACTACCTCGATCCTAACATCGTCGCGACGATACAGACCGACACTGCCACTGCCGCCGCCGTCGTCGCTGCCACTGCCGTCGACGCCGACGCCGATGCCGACGCCACCGCTGCCGCTGCCGCTGCCGCTCTTCTCGTCGTCACTCGCGGCTGTCCCAGTCGCGTCGACGCACGACGACGAATCGTCACCACCACTACTACTACTACTACCACCACCGTCGTGGTTGCCGCCGACGCGATCGCTATCGTTGTCGCGATGATTGCTAAGGTGATGGCGATGGGGATTAAAGTGGTGATGATGATGATGATGATGATAATGATGAGACGGTGGCGGTGGATGATGGTAAGAATGACGAGGTGAATGATGCTGATGATGACGGTGATGGACGCGGCGATCGTGGGGCGAACGATAATGATCGTCGATCGAAGACTCGCGCGAAAACGCGTCCTCGTGGCCGCGCTTCGCGGACGAAGCGTCTTGACCCGGAATCGGAGGCGTCGCGATCGGCGTGGTGGCGTCCGCGCGTTTGTGCCGCTCCCTCGTCACGCGAGAATCACCGTCCCCCGGTTCGCTCGTCGCCGCCACCGCCGCGGTCGCGGTCGCGTCCTCCGCCGCGGACGGACCGTCGTCTGCCATCTTGTAAACGAACACGCACTACTACTGTACTACTGGATCCTGTCGTGTCCGGCAGTGGCCGTTATGGCACGCACGGGCCGCGCCACCGCTAAAAGCCAATGTCGCGCTGCTCCACGCTACTACGGTCCGGCAGCGCACACGGCTCTCGGCTTGGCTCGGCTCGGCTCGCGAACGCGAGCCCCGTCTATTCCCACTCCGCGTTCACGCGTCAAACGGCACCGCCACCTCTCGCCGACGGTCTGACACTGCTAGGTACCGCGGCTGGCCGCCGCTCGCCGCTCCGCGCCCCACCCTGCCCCACCGACGCCGGAGACGGCCGAGCATGCGCGGAGACGGCCGAGCGCGCGCGCCTCTGCGACCGAGTGACGTGTGTCCTCGGGAATTTGCTTCGCGTCGTCAAAGGTCGCGACGTCCTACGCGGGAATGTGCGCGTATTTCTCACGATTTCGTGTGTTCAGCATTGTGTATTTCACCGTGGTGATTATGGAATTGCGATGTGCGATGGCTTCGATCTGCGGACAGCTTGAAGAGCGACTGATGCAGGTCCGGCAACATTTGGCGGTAAGTACAGCAAACATATTTGCCGCGGAGTTTCAAATTCTCTTCTTCCAAGTAAATTGACCGCTCGATTATTATTAATTCGATATATAATTACCGCGGGTAATTCATCGCTTCGATACCTCTTTGTAGCTCTGCGAGATAGATTTTAAATCTCTTTTATTTGAAAGTAAATCTCGGCTCAAATTGATAAAAATTGTAACTTTTGTTTCATTTATTCAAGAACGATAAACTCGATTTTTTTTCATTTTGTAGTACGATTACAATACATAAGAGATGTTGTAGTAGATGAAAAACCAATGTTTATGTTATCGAAAATACTTTATTTTAATAATACTGCAAAAAAATGACTTACTTACGGGCATCATAACAAATTGTGTATATTGTGGAATGTTGAATCGAAAATGACAATAGTCACATTGTGCATACATTCGAAAGATCATAAATATATTTGTGTAATACTGAGATGAAATGTGAATATTAAATTCACGCAGAATAAAAAATTGAATACAAAGTTTAAATATATAGTTTTGTAAACAGATCTTCATTAGATTTTAATTTATATTTGTAACTTTTTTACGTAAACTTGAAACTATTCCTCTTTATAAATTTTCAAAGGCAATGTTCGAAATTTTGTAATTTTTTAAAAAAAGGTTTAATCAGATATATCGAATAAGAATCGAATACATTTTCATTAATAGCACCTTTATAGTTTTTCTTATGTTTCTCATTCGTTCGAGACGTATTATGGAAGTATTCTCTCTACGTATGTATCAGTATACTTACTTAATTATAGTCAAAATTAATTATATGTTTTTGCTATGTACATTTTTTATACTAAAAGGTACGAGATTTTTCGTTTTTCACTTATAAATATTATGAAACTTTCCTTGTTAGTTTTGGTTTTGTTGTTTATACGAATGGTTTTCGCACGATAATGTTTACATATGTATATGTATATATGTATATATTCATTAAAAACACTTGTGTTACGTGATACATATATACATCCATTTGAAACTTTCTTTTATCAATTTGATAAATTCGAAACTTCCAAGACTGATCTCACGAAAATTACAATTGATTTATATATATGAATAATAATTTATATCGCCAGCAGTTTGTTCTGAATAATGACAACACAATTATAGATTCTTTTCACGAAATATTATTTCAATATGTGTGTATATTGAAAATACGTAAAAAAATCTATTGTACGGTGATGTATTATCGCGCTACTCTATCCAATTTTTTATTTGGATATCTAGGCTTATTTAGGCCAGTCATGAAAAACATGGATGTAAAAAAAAAGATTTTTTCTAAAATTGTTCGTCACGTTCGCCCATGCCGCGTCGCGACGTGTCCGCTAATTCCGCTAGCAAAAGAGTCTCCGCATCGGTAGAACTTTTCGATTGACTATATGTACCGATATGCCCACTAACACTTCGAGCGAGCTTTCGTTTACGTCTCTCTTTCTTTCTCTCAGTTTTCAATTTTGTAAATTCGTTCCCGGAGCTGTCGCTAGAACACGAGGAACTTGCGATACTGGCTACATCATCGTTTATCCCGCTACCGGGACTCGCCGGTTCATAGGTGACGCTTGATCGTGCCGATTGCATGGACTCTTGTGTTCTGAAAAATTTTATAAGACCACTATAAAATATTCCCCGAAATTATATTATAATTGCAATATTTAAATAAAATTTATTCTCAAGTATACACATACACAGATATGTATTCAAGTTTCTTTAGAAATTTAATTAATAAGAAACATATTTCGATTAAAAATCCAGTATATATTTCTAATAAAGTTTCATTTTTTAAATTTATATTTGTCACATAGAAATTTACGCGAAATTTCTCAATACATATGTTTATAAATATTATTGAAAAATCAAATATCACTTGTATCACATATCTGTTGTTAAATTACCAACCTTAGAAGTCTTGATTTTTCGCGCACGGTTCCCGATTCCGCGCTACTGGTTGCTGCTCGTGCAGGTGCGCTCCTGGAGAATACTTCGCGGTTACGAAATTGCACTGGTCCAGGCACGTCGACAGGCTCGCTCGGTGGTGGTGGGCCTTGTGCGAATATACTTTGTACATGAGGCCTATTATCGTTCGATTGACGTAACGATGTGAGCGTCATTTGCTCGTCTACCTCCTCGATGACGCCTATCCTCATGGAACCTCCTGCACCACTTGCAGCTGGAATCATTTCCATTGTAATCTATCTTGATCTCACAATTTCGAATCATTTTAATTTGACATTATAAATAAAAGACATACCAGGTGGTCGTAGTTGCAAGGAAGCTGCCGAACTTGAGTTCGTAATCTTTGCCGGAGTTTTAGTGCCACTTGCGGTACTTCCATCCGGTCTGTCCTCCTTGCTAAAGAATCTCTTAAGTACGCTAGTAACGCTGTTTATTCTCGTGAGTGAGCCACCCAGGTTGCTAGGAATTGAACCGCCGCTAAGGTTGCGCTCTCGATTACTCACTCTACTGGCACTTCTAATGGAAAATTAGCAAAGCTTAGAATCGTAAATACTCAGTTGCTATCACATTTCTCTCACCATATTTTTTAAAAATCTGCTTTTAATGTATTACTCCTCATTTTAAAACAAATTATTGAACTTTCTAATATATTCTTACGCTATATTAATTCATATCGCGGATATATAGATAAAAGTTACCTTACTAATCTCTCAGTGCTCTCTGTACCGTTTCTAATTTCGCATTAAAAATAATGATGGCGCGTCAGTAAACATATTTCTTCTTTAAATTTGAATAAATATTATTGAAGGAACTAAACAATTACCGGGAAAATTTTCCGCTCGCGGTGAAATGTATCCCCGACGCGGCGTCATCGCCTATGTCGGACTGGAATTTGTGTTCATCCGGCGCTAGATCCTCGATTTTAACCGATGATGGTTGCAGTTCTTGTTGCGCGGCGGACAATTGTATACCGGCTGTCGAGTGTTGAGGATGTTCCTCGCGGAAGGGTTGCGCCGCAGCGGTATACGGGAGCTCCATGGGGAATATTTCATCCCAATATTGATCGCGTATAAGTTCTGGATGATCGTGATGCATCTCGTCGACGATCAAATAGCTTACCTTAAAAACGAACGAATAATAACGTCATCAAATCGATATTTCGTTAAGAAAGTAATTTTTCCTCCACACATACATTTAATTGTAGTAAGTAAACGCACGAAAATTTATTATATATAATTAAAAATTTAAATAAATTATTATCAATTTTGAAAAAAAAAGGGAGAGAGCAACTCTTACTTGCAAATTGCGGTCGATTAACCAATTTACTTCGAAATCGTCATCGTCCTCGCCAAACGGATTAATCAGCGTTTCAGCGACCTTTAGCCAGCCCATATAAAAAAAGAATTGTAATGTTGTGAATACCGGGAAATACAGATCAATGATCGAGTTTGACGTTTGAATCCATTGGCGACCCATTACGCTGGTTAAGAAGTAAGTGTATACAGCTAGTGTGACGACCTGCGTGACGAAAAAAATAAAATAAGGTTTAAAACTTTGAGACATAAGCTTACAATAAGTCCTATATATTTTTCTTAAATATATATTTACTCTTTGAATTGATCTACAAATCGCTGTTGATTTTTATTGACTTTAGAAGGATTTATAGTTACCTGAGTATAGACTAACGGGACACTGATTGTATCGTAATGTAAAATAGTGCCGCATTTTCCGCGAAATTTGTTGAGCTCGTCGATGAGAGTCTTGACTGCGAAATCATCGCGTATTCGACCTTCCTTCCGAGCACGGGTCACGATACTCGTGGCCCAGACTATCGGCAGCCAATGCTTGCTTGGCTTTGGAAATTTCGCATTCAGACTCTGGAATATCGTTAATTCGTTGTCCAGTAATAGGCCGCAGTCCACGAAATGCTCCAAGGTAGGAAATCTTTTCTTTACTCGCGGCGCGACATTTGTTAGGACCACAGTCAGACAGACGCACACGTACCTGGAATAATAGAATATCTCTTAATAGAATTTGCGCGAAATCATTTTATAATTATTTTACAATCAGAAAAAAATGCATTCCTTAGCTTTTATTTTTTTTTTTTTTTATTTAAGACGTGATGAAAAATGAATAGTTACTTACATAAGATATTTAATTAATTCATAATAAATTAAATATATATTATAAAAGAAAATTATATATAAAAGATTGATCGTTTTTTATCATTTAGAAGAAAAGGTAACAATATTACACTATTTTTCTTTTCTCTGACATTATTTCTTCCAACTCTTTATACAACTTTATAACAACTTTACATTATGCGGTACCTAAGGATCGTACGCCGCATTAAACGACCGCGTTCGTCGTTTCCATGTATAGTGGCTGATACAAAGACCGCAATAGAATCGGGCCATGGTATCGCTAAGTATTGATTCCACCATCTAGTCATCACGATAGTAACATAGAAACCCAAGATAAACGAAACTGGTATTAGGTCGCTAAACTCATTGCAGTATGCCACCACAAATTCGAATATCTTCTTTTGGTCCTTGTTTAATAACAATCGGTAGATACCGGATAGCGAATAGTAGGTGATGAGGAAAACCGATAGGTCGAGCCAGACAAGCTTGTAAATACTCGCTCGCCACCTGAAACAAATCGCATAGCTCGTAAATGAGAAGCGAACATCTGTCACGCGAAAGAGATACGACTCGAGATGATCTTTCAAGAGAGAGAAATCGTATCTCGTGCTTGGCGAATAGACAAAAGTCCTAATGAAAATCTAGCTTTACGATTTGTAACAGTTAAAACATTTCAATTTAAAACCGTTGCACCGAATATATGCAATTGATGTTATCACGTAATTCGTTATCGAACCGAAAGTCAATAATTCTATGTACGAGTAGAGACCGTATCTTAGTTTCTTTCTACGAATGCCGGCATCACGCTTGAAGTAGTGTGTCAACGTTGGATGACGAAGAGTGTCGTATTTTTATGCAAACACACACGTCGAAAACGTGTCGTCATCCGTTATTTGCAATTGGGAGTATTCCAATATAATTTACGGTGAATACTATTCTCGAGAACGCAGCTCGCTTATCCGAGCATCATTGTGAATGACATTTACTAAATCTACAACTACGTCATTTTTATAAAATGTTGAATGATTAACGCGCACGAATAATTAAAAGGAGAAAAAAAGTTTTATCATATTTTTTTGCAATTGTATTAATTCGCATTGCAATTCTATGAGGAAAACAAGGATGAAAAGATAACGGAACATGTGGGTGGAAAATAATATAAATATAGAAATTGTAAGCAGTTGCACATATACATATACATATATATGTAAAATTAACATAGGTTGAATATTAATAGAATACTTTTTAATATCATGTAGAATTTTTATTCAAATATATAGACAAGCAATTTTTTTAAATATATATTTTTAATAATAAAATAAAAATCAATCTATAAATCTGTAAATATCATCTACATTTATATAAAATAAAAAAAAGATTAATATATATTTTGAATAGTAAAATAAAAAAATCAATCAAAAGTTGCAAAAGATGTTGAAATAGAACGTTTTATATAACATATGCACGTGCATGCAAAGTTTCGATAAATTGTCTAAAGTAAACATTTTTTTATTTATACTTGTCTATACATTTAAATAAACATTTTACACAACAATAAAAAGATATCCCGTTTTCCAATTTGCCATATTCTTATAACTTTAATAATAATATCGCATAGACGTAAAAGCAATAAAATGGAAATATAAATTTAGCATGAAAAGAGATTAATCTCAGATATATAGATAATAAATAATAATTTTCCAATAGTTTGAATAACAAAAATTCCAAGAAAAAATTCATCAAAATTTTCGTTCTTGATAAACGACAAATTACCAAATTTTAATAATTATAATTAACTTCATTCAAAATGATTTTATGAATGCCAGAAAATGAAATTTATCATCTCACCTGAGCAGTAATTTGGGAAAGCAACCGAGCCCTCTGCAAGTGGCTACTTCGGCTGTGTAGCTGACCGTCATCTTTCATCTACTGCGTCTTGTCACGTGATTCTCTCTCTCTCTGACTCAACTTCTCGTATTATATTCGCGTTTTTGCCCACAAGCAACTCGTAACATCTCCGAAAAGCATCGGGAGATGTCAAAATGATAACCGAGCGCGATTATTCGCGTGATCGAGGACGGCGTCAACTTCTCTTTGGCATCATCATTCGTTTCTTTGATACAATCGAGCCCGCGAACCGCCATCGGTAAGAGATCGCCAAGGTCATCGTTGACACACGATTGATTCGTCTCTGACGCGATTATGTAAGTTATAGAACATAAGACAAACTTGTTAGCTTTAATATACGCACTTTTCACTTTTCGCGTGAATCGATGTTATCAATAGAACTATTGTTTAAATTTGTTTTCTCACTCCTTCGTTAATATAAATATGTTCGTCTTGTGTAAATATCGTCGTCAATGATGCGAGATGAATTTGGTATAATTTGATATGAACTCTTCGTCACTAAATTTTATCACGTGTTATTATCGGTGTCTTTTATCATATGTTATCGAGTTTTGGCAAAGTCATAAATTCACGCACTGTATGAATTTACACACGTTATTTATATAAGAATTTATTACTTTAGAGAGACAATCGAAAGATTCTGGATTTTATTGGTTTTCTCCGTTATTTTCGTTGTCTCTTTGAAAGATTTATAATTCTAAAATTATAATATTATAATTTTCATTTCCCACAAATATGACGTTACTCAGGAATGTTTTTCGTTTGCTCCGAATATTTTATCATTTTGTTTTATCTACTTTCTAATTTGCAATCTTCCTTTTTGTCAAGAATCGTGCATTTTGAACAATCTTTTCGTTTCAATTATTGTTTTCACACTTTGAAAGTTTTCTCACGGATAAACATTAGATTTGAAACGATGAATCTAAAGCAGGAACATGATTTGTTTGAGGCTCTTTGAGTTCACGTAACATCAAAGGTCGTCTACATCAAGGACACTGCTATCGCGACGTATATCAAAAGATGTATTTGCAAGTATTGAGCTGCTCATTTTCCTAATTATAGGATAGATGCAACTGATACCAATCACGTGCAGATAGTCCGTTCCTATAATCTTCTTGACAAGAATTTCCAATCTGTAAAAAATTGATGAATTAAAAGAGACAAAAAAATATAAAATACATTATTCTCCAATTAAATTGTAAAATTCAATTTCTGATTTTCTTTCGGAAAGATTTAGTCAATTTTTAAATATTGAATTTTCTTTTCGTTCGTTCTCACAAAAGCGAATATTTATTACAATCAATCTTTCTAAAAGAGAAAAAAATGAAATGTTAAATCATATAAGTAAATCTTTTATTAATTGATACTAGAAATAACGAGCAAAATTTTTTAAGAATTTTTAAAAATCCACTGCAAATCGCTTGATATTTGATTACATCGCTACAGTTATACTGCGTGACTGGAAAGGATCAATACGTAGTTGTGCAGAAGGTTAATCAGTAAAGAGGAAGAGGATGTGGCCTTAACACTTTTAATTTTCAATCCTTCCGCTCAAAATTTTAATTCTTGAATGAAAATTTATTCACGTAATTAATTACTTTTCCTTAATCCCTTTAATCTACAGTTCCCGAAGTATATTTCACATTCTATCGTTTTTCCGTTCATCCCTATGAATCGTTATCATTCAAAGACACGTTATCACGAGTATGCTATGTGTGTCGATTGGCGCATCGCATCGACGAAACCGTTAGTCTCGATTAATCCTCAAAAATATCGCGAGTTTCCGAATGACGTCAGTACTGTAATATAACTAGATACTGAAAGCATTACGGTGATCATACATCTACATGTAATTTCATTATCACAGTAGATTAAAAATGGAACAATATACTGACCGGATCGATATTTAAAACTCATAAAAATATTTGACGTGGCATTATGTATAGTATCCATACATATTAATTAATGTATGATTAATAGCACTAACAGAATACTTGCAAAAATTTTTTTTAGATTAAACTCCAAGCTTTCGGCCCACAAAAAATGCGATCGAATATGTAAATGACAAAATAAAGAAAAATAAAAATTACAATGTGCCATATAACCGATTTATTTTCGAGCCAAAGTATATCGGTTTTCATTTCAAAAAGAATAGAGAAGTATTTTATCGCGTGCTATTTAATAAATTAATTAATCATACAATTACCCTTTAAGTATTTTTAGTTCCGCAATTTACAACATTTCCGCGAAATAAAATATTATGTTGGGAAAATTGGAGCATGCGTCATATGACACTGCTGCAAATGAGCTGTTGTACAATTTTCAACCTTGGACCTCGCGTGCATTTGTAACTAGACTTACTAGACAGATGCAATCGTAAAATTCATTATTTATTATTCGCCTAGAGTTAGTACGCTGTTGTATATTTTTACAACAGATTATGAGAGTAACAATCACATGATTGTAAATTATATATCGAGTATATATCGAGTGTTTTAAATATTTTTTCAAGTTTGCTAAGAGAAGGAATGTAGAATCATGGAAAGTCGATAGCGGTTTTCAGCACATCAACACAACGAATTTCATTCACGGAACAAAGAAAGATAAGCGATGTAACGTTAGACGGACAGGTAGAAACACGTTTGGCGTTGATTTTTCATTAATCCTTGCACTTACCTCTTGGATTCGATTAATTCGCGCTCGCGAATACGCGGAAAGTGTCAATTTATTAAACGAACACGTGTATATCTCGGATCGAGCACGCATCTGCCAAGGAACTTTTACGTCGTTGCACGAGTGATTATCGCCTGGCCAACCAATACTGAGGAGACCTACGCCAGCATGCCAGCGGTATCCCGTGCTCTCTCCGCCTTCACCCTCTCCGATCCATCCCCTCCAACGTCCTGACGTTTCCGCATGTGTCAGTAGTGCTCATTCCGCTTGTGTTCGGTTGTTACTTATTCTAAACAAGTACGCTTCGGATGCTCACGCGTTTTTATTGCTATTTGTTCCATTAATTTTTTAACGTTCATCGAAACAAGAATCGCTCATTTTGTAAGCAATTAAATATATATAAAAATGGTGAATAAAAAAAGAACCTGTATATAATTTTTAAAAAGGAAATTTTGTCTTATTTAACACGTTGGCTGTCATGAGCATCACCGGTGATGCTAAAATAGGTTACTTAGGTGCCATGAGCATCACCTGTGACCTCACTAGTTTTTTTACCAAGAAATATCTGTTTATGTATCTTTTATGTCCAAAGAATAATAAAAGTTTAGTTTCATTACACTTGTTTGTTCATTTCTATCATGGCACACGGGAATTGCCCGGGAAATGTTGAGTCTTATGGTGGCAGCCAACGTATTAAATAATTGATATTTTTAAAAATGGATAATCAATTTTTAACTACATCCTATATCTCATAATATCTTTATTAGTAAGACCAATCACGTAAAATAACATCGCTTTTATAACGTTTTTCTTTGATTAAAAATTCACGCTATTTTATTTTGTCGAAATAAGCAGTTGTAAATAGTATTTACATTATCGACATCGTCGTGACATCTTTCTGAGAATCAAAGAAAAAGAAATAAACAATAAAAAAGCGTGAGCATCCAAGCACAAATTTACACTTTATAGGCGCTATTCGTTTATAAATGCAATTAATAATTATTTATAAGCGCAGCTTTACCGCTATCGTTTATAAATGATTTCACGGACTAAAGTGATTCACGAAGAAAGTTAATTCCACAATTAATTGTATTTATAACTTTTACATATATAATTATATCTTCTCGGCTTTTATTTCCTTTTATAAAAAAAAATATTGCTAAAAAGATGTACAACAAGAAAGCAATACATATATGTAAAGAATCTCTCTTTTTCGATTCGGCTTCTAATGCATCAGTTACATTATATGAGTTATATGAGATCTACTGATTTAATATTTACGTAGGACGATTAGGTAAAAAGGCAATTGGCTGACAGAAACAGATGCAAATAACGAAGAAAGAATTGATTGTTTTCTTTTAATTCCGCAACACATTCTCCTTACATCGGTAAATGCATACAACGATAATCCGATCATTATCAAAATACTATGAGATAGCACGTGCAACGTGTTATCGATATAACATTTAATATGCATTATCCAAATTAAAAGCTCTAAATCGATATCTCACAATATTTTCTCTTAGATATTGATAGTAACATAACAATAGATATAACAAAGCACGTGTATAACGTCATATTATATTATAATTTATCTGAGGCGTTCCATCGATCGCGCGTGCGAATCAACCGGAAATAGGAAATAACTTGACGCAATCACGATTCTTTGCGTCCGCGCTTGCTTCCTACTGTTCGCTTTACGGTGTAACGCGTAACATCTAATGATACTTAGCTACAAACTTGTTTAAAAAATAAATCGGTTTGATAAAATATCTATCAGCGGGTGAACCGCGCCTCTCGCGAAACACACACTGTGTATATACATATATACTTAGTACTCTTTTTTTATATAACACTTTGTACACTTATTCTCTGAAGGTATATGTATATATAAATAAAACGCTCGATATATCCATCTTTGTATCTCCGTTCGTTGGTCTTCCGCTTGAAAATAGAATACACGCGGATATACGTTCGAGTGAAAAGTTTCACTGGAAAAAAAATACAAATAAAATACTTGAAATAATAAGTATATGAGACTTTCGCTCGAATTCGGCTTGCCTGATACAATTATAACGCACAGTCTTGGTCCCTAGAAGTCACAGCCATTAAATGCAACGAACAATCTGAGATTTAAGGCCACTCGATTTTTAATTCAGTCGCGATAACTCGAATTCGAGAATGGCAATGAAAATATTAGCGTTATCGCGATAACGAGAACGCACGGTGAACGCGTCACAAAGTTTCGACGCTTCTTAATAATCTATATTGCACGATTAGATAGCTACGAGCGCGAATTTTCACGCTCGGCTGCACAAACCACGATTAACTAACTTTCCTTTCGCTATATCTACATCATTACGTAGCTACAACCACGATCTGTAGAGAATCATGAACCAGAAATAGTTAATCACAGAGGTGGTTAGTGTGAACGACTTTCAAAGAAGGTCAGAAAAAATTCTTCTTAACCGATGAACACGCGGCTTTCGAAAAGGATCGCGACGGTAAAGAGCCCGCGTACTTTTCCTTCCTTTACGACGATCGACTTTCTGAATTAATGAGATAGGCACGCTTCATTTCAATCCGATTGTGCCTGTCACGCAACGATAGTCGTGAGAGCGCTGCTTTTGCTTCTGTAGCTGCCGGGTCTGCAATAAATAATGAATTATACATTCGGAAAAACGAATATTGCGGAACTTGTGTTTAGAGTAATTAGATAGCATGAAGTAATCGACATATACATACCTGATGGTAGCATGCTGCGAGGAACGTGACCATCCAGCAATAAAATTAATTTCGCCTCTTTGACTGCTGATACGCTGCCGACGAATTTGATTACCGCCTTTTGCGACAATTTGCTGCGAGATGACTTGTATAGCGTCTGGTGCGATTGTGGATTGTATCGCCTTATAGACTAATCTTCGATCATTAAGAAAACAAAGAATGTCATTGTATAATTATGTCGATATAAGACCAATTATATGGAATTGTAAACGCGCGCAGAGAGTTTAAATTATACAAAATAAAAATCAAAGCAAATTTAAAGATGATAAAACTGCAAGCTCATCTTTACAGTCTTGAATTAATTACTTAAATTAAACACTTACACAATTATTGCATAATCTTAATTTAATTATAAAGCGAGCATACCTAGGCATTAGTGCGAGGACAGACGTAAGTACTACAGTGAACCAGTACGTATGACGCGTAATGACTTTTTCCATTACCCAGAAGGATCCGGGTAAACCCATGCAATTAACGCAGACGGCATTATAAAAAAGGCAAAATCCAAAGAATATGCCCAAGGAACCCAAGATGGCACCAATGTGAATTATAGTCTGAAATAGACAACGTGATTATTGGCGAAAACAACATCGTCATTTTTTCTTTATTTTTATTACTTACCCAAGATTTAATTTCTATGGCAGCATGAAGCAGCATGACAACGATGCACGCTGTCATAATAGTCGTCCCAAATTCCCATATATCGATAATCGAATCATGATAAACCTGAAAGAATGATGAAATGACGAAAATCTTTGTACGCAATGATCAATCGAATTTCTTTATATATTGTACTAACCTCTTTGGTAATAAAGAAAATAATAAGACTTTGGTAAAGAGCATCGCTGATTGTGAGCCAAAACGAGTGCGGCTGATAAACTAGTCCCAGACGTCCTCTTGTGTACAATTCCGGTGCTGAAAGTAACACGCGAGGCGCAGCGATTCGATCGTATATGCCCAAAGCTAGAGGTGGCAGCGAAGTGAACAGCAAGTTGTATAGCATTAAATATATTTGATCTATCATTACGGCACCGGAGAAACCGCAATATAACTGTAAAAAAAGAGATATATATATTTGAAAAACATACACATAAATTTTCTAGCTATTTTCTAGTTATTTTTCGCAGAAAACAGTGTTTTATTTATTTTTATACATTTTTTTCTTTAATAATTATTTTTCTTTTTCGCGATGCTCACCTGAAACCAGAACACGAGGAAGACGAAAGTTGCATTCTTGTAAAAGAAATACAAAATCATTCTGGCGAGACGGTCATAACACCAGTGCCCATGCAGAAGGAGGAGCCGACTGAGAATGGAAAATCGTGAAATCGCGAAATCCGCCGCCATCACTGCCTGCGTACCTTCTTGCCCCGAGATACCGACGCCCACATCGGCGGTCTGTATCATACTAACATCATTTGCGCCATCGCCGATCGCTAACGTTCTCATTCCCAATTGTTTTTTAACGATGCGAACTATATATGCCTATAATATAGAATTAATCACACTTTAGTATTTCTTATACTGTATTGATTAACTGCTAGATTGCAATTATAAAAACTAGATTACAGTTGAAGAAACTTGTTTAAAGAATTTATCTCGAGTTTATTGACAATTTTGTTTCGTTATTATCGGATAATATTCTTGCCTTTTGCAACGGTGTGGCGCGGCAGGCTAAGACGCTGGAACACGTTTTCGTGAGTTCGAGGAACGGGCCGGTCAAACCTGATCGTGGATCCAGGATCACGGTCAACGTCTTACCGTCCACGACGAGCGCGCGTTGCCGTGGCCACGGACTGCCGATTCTATGGGCATCTCTCTCGGTGGAATCGCGATTCGGATATATACCGACGGGATCGGCAATCATGCCTGGTTGCTGCGAATGACCATTGTTTGCACTCTCTTTGTGCGCCGACTCCAGATAGCCGCGTATGAGCGTCTCAGCAATGGATTTCGATCTCGCCTGCAACTGCAGCAGCTGCATGGCTGGCGAGAAGAGTCGCGCCGAGTATGCCACGTTCACCGCAGTCTCTGGCTTATCTCCTGAAACCGCAAAAGCAAACATTTATGCATACATCACGTAATCGCTTTGACATCTTTGCACGTTAATTACGCACAAGAATGTAGTTTCGAAAGACGTCTATTTTATTATAATTTTATACATAATTTTTCTATCTCCTAATCTTTGTATAACATTGTTCATATAATATAATATATAAACGGAAAGTTAACTACGAGCAAATCCGTTTACGATTTGATGTGAAACACATATTTCTCTATGATGATTGTGTATTACAAATAACGTATGTGCGTCAATGTCAAACCGGTTTGCGTGCGCGCTCACCCGCATATGAGACTTTTCACGAACCTGTCAGAACCCACACGACGATTCCGGCGGCGACTAGAGCGGCCATTGTCTCGGGCACGCCAACTTGCAATTTGTCCTCGATACCGGTCGCTCCCAGCAGCGTTAAGTGCGACTCCAACGTCGCGTACGAATCGCGTATACGACGTTCACGGTTCTCCGTCGCCAGTTCCGCCTCATCGTGCTTCTCTCGCCATATCTCATATTCTTGTGATGTCAATGTCCTCCTTGCCATCACCAGGGTACGCAACCCTTGACGCGCGTACGACTGCAGATATTGTCGAATACTTGCCGAGGAGACGGTGTTCTCTTCATTCGGCGACAACGCTGGTAATATCGTCGTGTCGGCACCCTTGCTGTATAATACTATCTCGCCGGTATGAGGATGCCTGAGTAGCACCGACATACATTTTCTATTCGAATCAAATGGTAGTACCTGCAAGCGGTTGAGGAATAATCAGTTAATACTCGTTCTCGAGTGATTTTCATTTGTTCAATCACAATCACCTACGTGAAGTATTTCGAACGCGACCGTTGATTTGTCTGGAAAAGAAACGATTGCACTGCGAGGCGTTCGTTTCACTAGCTTGACGTCGTAAGCACGTGCCGCGTGTACTAGCGCCAACTCATCAGGACTTTCCGCTTCGTAGATCGCTAGACTTTGTAATAATTCATCGCTGTTTTTTGTGTCCGGACTACGTCTCTTTTGGCCATCTGGTGAAAGTTTTCGTCCCAATAAACCGATCCCTAGACTCGGTATCGACGTTACATTTAGCAACTTTGGCCTAAAAAAAAAATTGTTCTGTTAAATATTTTCATATTTTATGTACTCATATTTTATGTATATTGGACATTACACTAACCTGGAAAGTTTAAACGGAAATTTTGATGTGTCATCAAACGTATTTGTCGTGCTGATCACAGGTGATACTGGAGATAAGGTGCGGGGATTTCTACTGTTCGGAGATATCGGTATCGGCGGGGAATTAACGGTCGGAAATGAATTAGTATCCTCTGTTATTCTGCAAAATATTAAGCTAATAGAAAACGTGATAAAAATGTGATAACAACTGATTTGATTTGTCCATTAAAAATTTGTCATGTTTGATTAATCATTTTTTTTTTCTTTTACAGAGTAATAAATGTACTTTTGTATTTCTTTTACTTCTTAATTAAAATTTTAATTCTTATTTCTAACGTGTGCTAACCTTGCAGCCCGAGTTCCATTTTTTTGAGGTTCTTCGATGACTCCGCTAGAGTTCATGTTATCGTGATGCGGTTGAGAATTTACAACAACCGTATTGCACGTGGCCAAAACAATAAGAAATTCTTGTAAACGGTGTCGAAATGTACTTATGAGGAGGTCCTCCTTAAGCCGCGAGCACGGAAGCAGATTCTCATTGTCGCCTATGTGCGAATAATCCTGGTTGCTTACTACGCATCGCCTGAATAGCATTTTGTTTTCCGTGAGAGTGCCAGTTTTGTCGGAAAAAACATATTGCACCTGTAATTCAACGGCAGGTAATTTCAAGTAATTTCCAAATATGTTGCATGTATTACTTTCAAAAGATCTTTCGATAAGATAAAGTTTTTGTCTGAGAAAACAAATGCAAAGAAATACAGAGAAGATTACAAAATATATGACATGACGATGACGGATATTAATTTTTAAATTGGAAATACAAAGAAATGAGAAAGAACAATTTTCATAATATCGATCATATGATATATACATTTGTATAAAATATTCTTCCTCACGCGCGCAGATTCATTTAATATAAATTATCGCACTCACTTGACCTAATTCCTCCGTGATATTCAGCGCGCGGCATTCCGCCTTACGACCGGTTTCCGTGTCGTGGAGGGCCGGGTCGTGGCCGATATGATACACCTGTCCCACCTTGGCCATCTCGATCGTCACGTATAGACTCAGCGGTATCATCACTTGAAATATTATAACGAAGGTCAGGAAGGTCAGTATACTCTCGTAGACTGGCTCCTGCACCACCGGCAGAAACGGTACCATCGTCAAACCCGTGTACGTGGACAACCAAAAACGGCAACCGATCGCACCGAACACGCATAGCACCAGCAATATCACAACGCACCATTTCACGTCCCTGTTCATCTGCTTCTCCAGACGGGAACGCTGAAATCGTATCATGAAAATTTTAAATTTGAGCGTTTGAGGTATTTCTCGTGTTATCTTTCTATGCGATCTATTTATTTAAAGAGCAAATTGCGAAATTATGTAGCAAGATTATCTATTTTTAGGTTTCCTTTTCTTGATAATCATGTTTAATATGCATATCTGAATAATTTCGTTTTTTATTTTCTTTCACATATGTTTGACTTTTGACATTTAATACTTTTCGTTGAATGAGCTTTCTCTGATTTTAATTATAGTTGAATAAAATTATTTTTTTACGATCTTATTTGTTCATAACTTTTAATTACAATTTTTTTAAATTAAACAATCAAATCGTTGTTTACTTATTTTTTTGATCAGATAAAAAAATTGGATCAGTAGTTACAAAAAAATACATTATATATATATATAATGTATTTTTATATAATGTATTTTTTACACACACACATACACACACACACATAAATATTTTTTTTAAACTAATGATCCAATTTTTTTATATACATATACATACATATATAAAATAAAATGTACAATATATATGTGTATGTGTGTGTGTGTGTGTGTGTGTGTGTGTGTGTGTGTGTGTGTGTGTGTGTGTGTGTGTGTGTGTGTGTGTGTGTAAAATATACACTTTATTATACATTTTTTTAGACATATTCTTCTAAAAACCATTTTATATAGTTGAAAAGATATTCAAGGAAAATTATTTCAATTATTAATTTAATTGATTTCTTAAATCTTTTTTACCTTGTATCTGGGTCCACCGTTGTTCAGCAATGCTTTAGTCTCATGACCAGCGTATATGACTATACCCTCGACGAAGTCGGTGTTCTTTAAAACACATTCCCTGAGCAAAAGATTTTCCGTGGACACGGGTACTCTGCCACCGTTCGGGTGCACTACGGCGCCATGAAACCTAACAGACGCATTTAGTGAGATCACTTGTAATTTGATTAATTACTGGTTTACAAACGTTATCACGGTAATAAATATCGTCGATAAGCACTTTTGGGATGAATCATAAAAAACAAAACTTTGTATTAAAGGAAACATCAATTACAGACATGTTAAGAAATATGTGCTTTTTCTATCCGAGCTCTTTGAAAATTTATAAAAATAATTGGAATCTAAGAGATTGATTTTTTGTTGTTGTGAACATGACAAATTATCGCATACATGTATTTACCTATATATTCTAGTACTTGGCTGATCGACTTCAACCACCGACCGGAACTTGGAAGGCTGGAAAGTATCCTGCAGATCGAGGAAACCCCTGATAACCTGACGCTGCTTCAGATTCGTTTCACCATCAAGGTTGCACGTATCGAGATAAGCTAATCCCTGAGGATCGCTGCTTCTCAGAAGCAAAAGATCGGCCGGTACCAGTTCGTTGTTCGAGAGGTGAACCAGGTCGCCCACCTTGACATCCTTCCACGCCACCTTCATGTATCTGTCGCCTTCGCTACAATGAAATCACAAGAGAAATCTCTCGTCAAGAAACTAAGGCACTACTTTTGAGTGTTATTTAAGCGACCACATCGAAAAAGGTAGTTATACTTTCGTAATCATGCAAAATAATTGGAAAGTTTACGTGATAAATGAATTACTTCATCCGCGCGATGCTTCTTAATTTCACATCTCAAACTCTATAATTATGTAAATTGCATAACTTTGCAGTAAGAATTTAATTAAGAGCGCGATGATTAGACTACTGCAAATATTTATTTAATATAGCGTAGTTTATTTTAGCTTAATAAACTTAATTACGTGTGTGAATATTACGTGATAGTTTTCAGTAAATTAATCAACTCTGATGCTCGCGCACATGTGTCACTACACTATTATTAAAATCTATTGTTAGGATCACGAAAGGACTAAATCAATTTATACTTTCCCCTTTCGTACAAAGGAAAAAATATCCGGCGAATAAAATTGTAGAATCTTAACGGATTGACATAAGACAATCGACAAATCCTCGCGTTGCATAAAAGAACTCGTAAGGCTACTCTGCTGTCGTCAGTGTCGCAAAAGTGGACATTATACAGAGTTTTGTACAGCGAGGAACGCGAATATTTACCAAGACCGAAACGAGCGCAATGAAACGCATGTGTTTATTAATAAACATTTGAAGTCTATGTATATGTGTCGGAACAGATTTCACTTGATCATAAATAGCAAGTGATAAAATTGATCTCGCTTATGATCATAAATAGCGCGATGAAAAATTAATAAGTCGATAAGATGTTACTCTTTCAGGTATTCTTTTTAATCAATCATTAGCTTTAATATTACACAATGTGCAAAAAATATTCGATATCTCACAAAAGATTTAGAAAACATTTAAAACGTCTTTCCGATAATAATTAAAGATTAATACGCGATATGTTGGTACACGGAACGAAATCGAGTTGCAGGAATCGCCCGTGAGAACTCGGATTCTCTATTACGTGATTCTTTATTACTCTCTCGGCTGTAAGCAGTGGCGGATCGCGACAGGCATCTTTAAGACGCGACCTTGAGTAGCTAATTCAAGTGTTCAGAAGTTAGATTCATCTCGTTCGCGTGCGCTCTCCGAGCTGCTGATGACGAAATCGGCGATTGACGATATATTTCCTTTCAATTACAAGCGCACGGCATCTCTCAAGGTTGCTCGTCCTTGAACGTCACACGTCCGCACCCGTTTGATCGGAGCGAAATTAAGACGACCGAGATATCGGAGGTGAACGCGTGGGAGAACTCCAAAGGATAGCAAACAGCCGTTTACCGTTTGACATTTGAAGACGAACGGAATGAATGAGAACTATAGTTATTGCTTATTTCGCATTCATTTCGGGAATATTGTAGTGTCACAAGGTCGTCTCACGGCGAGACGAAATGATACAAATACTAATTCTTTTGTTCGTCTCGGAGGATAATACAAAGTAAGAAACGCGTCATTCTTGCTTTTGTATCATTCACTCTTTTTACATTTAAAACAACATTTAAAACACGTGAATCGCCGTAAAATGTGCATTATGCATCGCGTATCGTGCCATGAGTATCATCGCGATTAGGTGTGGTTTTTGTCGCGGATTCGTATCGTTGTCCCGCGAGGGATTCGCGGCACGTAGCGCGAATACACGAGTTAATTATGCAATTATATACGCGACATTTACGGATGACATTATAATGATTGCTGTACGATATTTTCATACACATATATATATTACAAATAAAACAAGACTGAAAACAAGACTAGAAATTTAATGATTTTTCCAAGATCATTTATCCGCGGATGTAACATTGAAGAAACATGGAAGAAACATTAGCTACGTAACATCGATCGATGAAAATGGCAGGTTTTTTATGCATACACGGTGTATTACATAAATGTTTCATCATATATTAACACGCTGCATTAAGGTGCAACAACAATTAATTAATCATGATTATTTGTCGTTTATTAACTTCCGAACGTTTTTTCCTCGACATGTCAGAACATCAAAGGCAACCATGTATACCGCGGCAGTACGTATTGCTATCGTTCTAACCGCATAATAATTTCAGTATAAGTTTTCAACCGCATAGCAAGAGATAACGAGTCAAGGATAGTAAGTTTACTAAACACGTTGTATGAAGTTATTTAGTCTTATCATAATTCGCGTAACTTTTGTAATTTCTCAGTGGAACTTCTCAATATTTCGATTTCTTGGTATTATTCCTTTTTGATATTCTACGTGGCCTTGATTGCACTTCTATAATATCGCCAAGAAACAACAGAATATTTATAAAGGGTTTATCGTACATTTTTATTCTAAAAATATCTGTAAATTAAAATATTACTAAAGCATGCTTGTAAAAATAAATTTGAAAAAAAAAATTGTTTAATGATAATTCTAAAACTTAAGAAATGGACAAATATAATAACGATTAAAGTGCTATTTGAAATAGTGTCTCGATGTTTTTACGCGAGAAAGATTCATTCGAATTTGACGCATATCATCAAAAACTTAAACATTGTCTTATGATAAGTGCAATAGAAAAGATACTTGTAGCTACGACACGTATCCGAGCATTTATAATTACTGCTTTTATGCAGAATAATTTAGAAAGAGAAAACCTACGAAATATAACGAAATGGCCTTTGCATATGGATTTTGCATATGTTAGTCGCTCACCGATATTTCAGGGCTTCCAACGTGTTTCGTAGAAGTAAACGAAGATAGAATATGCACAAGCGGATGTACACATACATTGTAAACGTTTACACTCGTTTACATCGCGCTGTTCTCTCATATGACATAAGACGATGACGTCATCACTCGCCGACTTAACGGCACTCCGAAAATTCCGCAAGAGAGAAAGAAGTAGACCGGGGAGAAAACTTCTCAGTTTTCACTGATGTAAATTTATCCGGATAATTTGCCGAGCCCCGTCCCGAAAATTCACGCGTTATGTTGTAATATGAGAATATTAAACAAGAGAGGACACTGCGATTGGCGAACGATGTTTGAAAGTTGTTTGCGTTGCGAAAGATGATATATTTGTTTCGCGCTGATGATTTCGGAGAAAGAAGCTTCTAAAGTGGAATTTTGGCTTCGAATTTTAGCATTTTACGCGATAGAATTTGCGCTCGGAGGCCTGTCTTGATAAAGAAATTAATTCGACGAAGGCCAATAGCTGCCTCGTGCAATCGGTGTCAAATAGACGAGGCAAGTGCGATGATTAGCGAACTCGTGCGACGCCTCCAATATTTATTCCGATCGAAGTTTTCCTTCTATTTAGCTTGCAATTCTAGCCGCGTCCTAGATTCGTTCGAATGAGTCACCGTTAATTAGATTGCACGTTTATAAACTAAAATAGACAGATTTTTTATTATCAATTTTTATCGAGCCATTATATAAATAATTTTTAATACCGAGAAGACGGATTGAAATCAATTTATTCTCATTTCGTTAAAATGATTCGACTTGTTTTTCGACTTGACGGCTGTGAAAATGTTGACATTTCAGGCGTAGACGAGACGCGTAATAACGATGAAAAATATATGACGATAATTTAACAAGCGGAATCGACAGATTATGAGGCACAGGCGAGATAAAAAGGGGTAATGGTAACAAATGCGAATGTCAAGGTCTTTAGCGCACGAGACGGATTGCAATCGACTTGTGGCCGCGAGTACAAGAGGAAGGTAAAAAGGGAGAGCAAGAGAGAGAAGGAGAGCTGAATCATTCACACACCATTATGCGGACATATATTGCGTTTAGAAAACGATAGGCGCGGGCGATTAGCGACTCGAAGAGTCTTGTCGACAATGTAATTTTGAATCGATCGTCCTTTCCCGACTGATCATGAAAACACGCGAATGCACCGGTACTAAGTCACACATATTGTCCGCAACATATCAAAGATCCTGTCGATCGTTCCACAACATATCACGATTACTTGTCATATCTGATACGATATTTAGACGTATAATTCTTTTATATTGTTAATAATTCATCATTATTATTAATTTACAGCTTAATGATAGCATTGAATATGTATGTAAAATATTATCTCATGTTTTAATAATTAGAAATGTATAGATTTTATCATTATGACGATAATATAATATTCTTTTTTAATTTTAATTTTAACAATAACAAGCTGAAATTAAGATTATCGTGAAAGAACGATCTTGATGGAATCTCTCGCGAGCGTAATCGGTACAGATATTAAATTAAAATTGAAAGAGAATCGACGTCTCCAGGGGACACGAAGGGATACGGACGAAGGACAAGGTCACCCGCGTAATTTTTCCCGAAGCGGTACGCTGCATCGAGATTGCCAGGTCATCGATCAACTTTCCAATTATATTGCATTATGAATGAAGAGTCGTAACGACCAAAATTGCTGACGTTCGCACGGTCGAAAGAACTAGCGAACGATCAAACAGATCGACTGTAAATTCGATTATATATATATACGAGACATTAAGGGATCAATCAACTGTCAATTTACGTGAATTTATGAATAGGATACTTCAAAAATATCACAAAACATAGAGAGAAAAGTTACTTTCTTTCATTTTTTCAATAATCCAATTCATTACTGACATTATTTAATGTCAATGCACATAATTGATAAATTTTTAAAAATTACATGTCCTAGTCTGCTATTTCACGAGCATCTTTTTAAATAGTTGAAATGCAGGTTAAAACAACACAGCTCGAAACATAATTATTTATTAGTTTATTTATGGAACTGTTTTTAAAAGTATTTGGAAAACAATTTTAAATTAAATAGACTTTTTCGAATTTTACAACGTTAATAGACCCGCTTGTTATCTCTGTAGATAGTTGTAAGTCGCGAGAGAATTTTTTTCGGAGTTCATTCAACCCTTGTTCAATCCACCTCCTCCTTGTTGCGCTGCAATCAAAACCACGTGGCGGGTGTACATACGCGTTTATCAGCGCACGCGTCGAATTGTATCTACGGTTCGATCGCGCGCATGTATGAATATACATGCAACCTCTTCGAGCGAGTTTGCTGACCATTTCGGATGCACGAACGACGAAAATAAATGTATTGATGTCGTCTATTAAGCGGCTGTTAGATTGTTGACGACGCTGCGAGCGCATCAATTAAGCGCTAACGTTACAAGCGTAAACAATGCTGGTGATCGCGACGCATCAACGACAATCTAGAACGTCATGTCGGAGAGTATTCTTGCGGGAAAAGAACGGTATACGCGCCGGACACTTTCCTCTCCGTGTTTGTGCACGTAGACCGTTCGTTCACGTTCGTATGTGACCCACATATCTGGAATTGTCGGTCTTATTGGAATCGATCTATCGGATTCCGTTGCCGCAAGGATTCTAACTGAAGGGACGGCTTGCGCGCTACTAAAACTAGAAAGTAAACGAGCAAGGTCGATACTGGTTGAAAAATTAAATATGTCTCTTCAATTTTTCATACATAAGAGAAAGGAAGAGAGAAAAATCTATCGTGCATTTATTTTATTATTAGAAAGAAAATTAAAACTGTCAAAACTTGATTTTTCATGCTTTTTTGTCACATAGAGAATTATTAAAAAGCTTCAGAAATGCTTTGAATGTGACATAAATTTAAGGCACAATTAGAGGCCCTTTAAAGAATTCCCTTAATATTATTGTGTTTATGGTAGCATATTTATGCAGGCTAGGATTAAGATTGTGCATTAAAAACATTATTCAAAATTTGAAATATTTATTTCAAATTATATATCATACTAGAAAAAAGGATTCCCCATATTATATTATTATAGTAATTACATTTCACTATTAATGTTTTCATCAAACTTTCCCACAACAACGGAAGCATTATTCTTAAGCGTTTTATCATTCGATCGCTAACGTTTCTTTTCTCGGCTCCCACGTACAATTTGCAGAAAAAGACGCGCAACATTGCATTAACTCTTTTTACGATAGTCATAAAACTTGCATTATCTCTAGGCTGTGTTTTTGCACAGGTCAAGAAGGAGAAGAGAGGGCAGAGAAAAAAGAAACTGATTGTACTCGAACGATCTCCATGCTTTACGCTACATCGTGACGGATGCAACGTCGCACTTTGTTCGTCGACTCACCTAACGTAGACGCGGCAGGTGGAATTATTCACACGCCGGTCACTGGCGAGACGCCGACGATCTTCGAAGAAGTCCTTAAGCGCTGTAACCCCAAGAACGAACAAGACGGGGATCATAGCGACTTCCTTGCCAAAAGCATTTATGGCCGGCACCCAATTAAGTAGAACGATGAAGATGAAATATAGATTAGCCACACGATGAAACTGCTCCAGCAGGTTACGAGGTAGGAAGCTCAGCGCCGTATACTTTGTTGTGCGTACCCTGAAACGTGTATTACATCATGAGACATGCGAGATGATTGTCCCGTTTGAGTTATTTCGTATACATCATTCTTGTCTTTACCTGTTGTCCGTCCTATACCCATTGGGATGCTGACTCTTCGGTGTTTTCGGGGAGACTAAGTGATTCGGCACTATTGTCCTTAGACGGGGCTCTTCCGGCAATGAACCGAAACAATAGGCCCATAGTCTTCTCCACCAGGGGGGCACGACGCTACGTCTTATCGTATAGATAGACTCCGATCTGCGAACAATCGCGCCATAGTTTGCATTATTAATATTCTGTTATACATGAAATATCACATCTTTAGAGGAAGAAATTCTGAATTTAATTTATGAAAAACTCGTGTTCATTGAAACAATAATTTCAACAAATCAGTATTTCATGACAAGCGATCTCGGAGTATGTTAATATTATTGATCTAAAGATATAAATTATTAATAATTTTAATAAATAATCATTTAGCTATAATATTAGCGTCTCTTAGACATTATCTGCTACTTATGTACTGTTATTCGATTCTATTCCCGATCAATCTTATCGTTCAAGGAACATGATAAATTGCATCTCATGTGTCATTTCGTACCTGGACGCCTGGCGAGAATGACCGCGAAAGGAAGGCATCCTGCCGGCAGTAGGCGGTCTGCCCTCCTCCCTGTGGCCCGGCGGCAAGATGAAATCCGTTCTGGAGCCGACGCGATGATGTCCCGTTACGGCTGACTGGCTTTGCGTCACGTCCGCCACCTGACCCTGGCTGAAGGCTCTCTGATGACCCGGCTTCTTCAGCGCCGATGGTCGACCCGCGGACGTGGCGCTTCCCACCGTCGTCAGCGGACCCAGAAAAGACCCGTAGGTCTGCCGTCCGGTCGTGCAATCCGCCAGGACACCACCATGGCTCGCCGATCTCGCGTGCGTTTTCGGCAGAGGTCTTCTTCTGCTCGGCGAGGTGACTTCCTCTACGGCGTCCTCGTCCTCGTCGCCGTTGCTCATCTTCGTCGGCGTGGATGTTATCGTCGTCGTGGTGCTGGTTGTCATCGTCGTGCTCATCATGGTTGGATCGCCACCGTGAGGGAAAGACGACAGTGGTGGCTGAAGGGGCGCCATCGATGCCGACGATGACGACGATGTTGCGCGGCTGGGGCGGCCCGTACCCGGGAACACATAAAGGGATCCCTGTTTCTCGATCTCCTCGCTGGCTGCTTCCTGCGCGTCGTCCTCGGACATGCTGGCACATCTGCGTATATACATACACGGTGGAGAAAAAATATTCTAAACGTAATACGTGAAACAGTAAGTGCAAACTCTACTGCAAAGAAATAAACTTCACGGATAAAGGTCGGTTGATTCTTAGCGATGATATGTCCATATTAAACTTCCATTACGTTTTTATTAAAGTAATTATATTAATTACTTTAATATAGATTTAATGAGGAAATTTAATTACTTGTTTTTTATTATTCAATTATATTAATTAAAATATATATAAAATTCTTTACTTCACACGTGCTTTACATATTCATTTTATAATTTATAAAAGAATATGTACATGTGTGTTTTTGTAATCCATACTATATAAAATTATTACATCTTTAAAGATGTACTTTTGGTGAATTATTAACATCAAGATATTTTCAAACTGAGACTTTAGCTTTTAAGTATTTTGAATTATTTTGGAATATTTAATTCCAATGTCTTTCTGTCACATACATGTGATTTCTGGATATTAGTTTGACCGAATTGATAAATAATCTTATCTTTGATATCAAAGTTTCTAAGTCTATTTGATGTCGTTAAAGAATAATAGTTCTTCAATTGGCGTAATCAACTGTATGGTTCAACCCACGATGTAATATTCTGCCGCACACATTAGCCGTAATTATAGCTGAAATTTCTGGAATCGACAAGACACTGGGTATTCAATCTTCTTCGATCGCACTGGGTGCGAATTATCGCGCTCTCGTTCCGATAATATGTTTCCAATTCGTTCCAAACATAACTGTTTGAAATTCAAAATTCGACCGTTCGTATTATTCTTTTCGACAGACGTTTACTTATCCTCGCGACTGACGAATCATTCGCACATATCTGGAATAACAATATACTGCATTGTCACATATGTGTTTTACAGAAGACGTAAATATAATCGCGAACTTGATGCAATCATCCAATTTCCTTAAATTACGCAGCATGAAATTAAGTCGATGCAAATTTAAAAATTGACATTTAACAAAAAAATTGAAAATGGTACATCAAGCTGTTAACTTACTTTTTATATATTAGTATTTGCTTTCTATTAGAATATTATTTCTATATATTTTTATATATAATATAAATTTACTTTTAAATTTTCCATCTGTGCAAATATTTACGCGTTAATCACTTTTTTTAATAAATGTGCAAAACTGGCACGTTGCAGTATCGTTGCGAAATATAATATATTACTCTTTGCAGAACTCATATATCATAATCAAATGTCATGTATCATATGTCATGCAATCGTCACATAAACCTGTGTTAATAATTATTTAACCAAATCGATTTTATCGAACAGTACTTATATGTTATATGTTTCTTCTACAATCTATCCTTTATAAATTACGTTTATTCTTCATTGATTATCCGCCTGATTTATTAATGCGATATGATAAAATAATATTTGATTTCCAGTCAATTAACAATTATGTGAAAAACGCTCTTATCTGATAGTTTCACATAATCAAAAATAAGTATGAGTATATTTTACTCTTACATAATTTGAACCTAGATTTGTGGAGACTTACCATTCTAGAGATTACGTATTTTACACTCTTATCGGATAAAGAAAGATACGAGATTTCTCGATATAGTTACAAATTATAGAGAATGCAATACATATAGATATGTTTGCTAATAGCAATTTCAACACCGGATGTTCTGTGAAGATAACTAAAGTAGATTATTTCTGCGAAAAGTGTGCAATAGCCATGACTATTCAACGCATTAAAAAAAGAGTCTCTTACTCAAAGTGCTAATATTTTATAACATTCAGAAATATAGAGTCAAGAAATGTACATGCAATCGAGAAAAGGATGATTCCTCCTGCAAAGATAATATAAGAAAATGAATAAAATGATTTCATATTAGGCTTTTTTTCGAGAAAATTGGTTTTGTGATATTAATAATATATTTATCTTTTTGTATATTTATCTTTTTAATAATCTTTTGAATTACCTCTAATGACATAATGATATAATGATATTATTCGAATTTGCTTCTCGACACAACTATTATTAATACATAAATAAATAAATAATAAAACAGTATTAATTCCATTTAATAAAATAATTCAAAATAATGCAAGTCACTCTGTGTATAAAGATGTTACATGTAAAAGCTGTCAAGATAAACTTTATTTCTTAATAGAAAAAATGTTGTATCTTTATGCATATTTTAATAGACACCGTTGAAATAAATTCAATAATGCAAGGTCACTGGAGTCTAATTGTTATTCAGATTAAAAAAACATAAATTAATTAAAAAAATAAATTAATTTATAAATTTTTAAAGTCAATTTTGTTGGAAAAAAAATCTTCGAAATAAATTTTATTTTACATTTTCGACTTATTTTTGTACGAGGAATCAGTTTTTTTCAAATATTATGTCTTCCAATTCTAATGTTGTTTTCAAAATTATCTTGAAATTAAAATATGACATCAGTGATTAATTTTAAATGTTTTCTCACCCAAAAATGATAAAAATTTAATATCCTCTTAAATATAGATCTAAAAGAAAGTAAGCCAGCTACGTCCTATATAAATATAAAAAAATGTACATTACCAAGAGACCGAAAAACACCGCTTATCGTTAAATCTACGCGACTGATACAAAAAACATGCCCTTCATCCAATATATCTGCCGATAATCCTGATAAGCGATCGATACTGCGATTTCCGACAGAGAGAATGGAATTCATTTTTCTTTCTGATTTCTTGTTGACGTTAATAACCTCGAATAACTCTGTATCGGATAATTGCACAACGATACAAAAATAATATTGGATTAATGCGATCGATGAGTTTTTAACGTACATATCGAGCTGGCTTCAATTCACGTAGAAATTGTTTACTTTGTTCTTGAACAGTTTCCTTCTAGTCACTGCGTGCGTGTATGTATGTGTGATCTTTATAGCGATCAGATCTTATCTTCTAATCTCAAACGAGAAACCGTTAATTTCTCCTTTTACAACAATAATTTGTTCATAAAGGTAATCATTTTAGACGATTAAGCAAAAAAGTTGAAACTTTCGAAATTAAAAATAAATTACGCAGGATTGTGTGACCTTGCAGACCTAGAGAATATAATTTCAAGAAAATAACTTACTTATTACTTGATTTTTCTTTTCTTTTCACGACATCCATTTTTACGAAGATTTAATTCGCTCGAGCGATACCTGATTCGATCTCAAAGTCGCACGGGACGGGAATATGTGCCACAGTTTACTGACGTTGTGTGCGTGGGCGTACACACGTGCATACACGCGTCAATGAGCACGCCCGATCGCGTGTGCGTGCGGCTGCGATGGACGAGATTCCGGTGTACGACGATCGATGTACGGGCGCCCTTCTCTTTGCGAATCGCTATCGGTCGAATGTAAACGAACGGAGTTTGTATATCAAGGGTAGAAAAAATCGAGCGGCTAAATTGGGTCACCTGTTTACTCACGAGCGCTTTCTTTAACGCGCCTCATCATCGCTATCATTACGACGATTGCAGATGCGCCTGAAAAAAATTATGATATCGCCTCGTCGATTATCGAGACTCTCCTCATTGAATTTTTTATCCGAGATTACTTGCCGCTAAAATCACCATATCATCATGAATGCATCGCTCAAAGCTTTTCAAAGCGTCTAAATCTTTTCGAGAGGCTGACTCAGCACTTTTTTATATCCGCCCGAGATGAAAGATGCCGTAATCGACGGAATTTTTTAGACGATCTAGATTTTTCTGATAACAAATTTTTCCCCGAAGAAACAAAGCCTTCCCCTTTGAAAAAAAATTCAAAGAATTTAGCTGAAGTTTTTAAATAATCTGTAAATTGAGATCTCAAAGATAGCTCATTGATTTGTTTATTTTTTTTTTATTTTGTTATCGCAATATATTCGAAACGATTGATGAGATTTATTCATCGCCTTTCTTCGGTTAACGTATTAAAAATGATGTGCATGTTTTTCGATCAGCACTGAAATAAACGGATGTGTATGATATAATCCCTTTCTTATGGAAAACGTAACGGAAATTATATAAGATTTCTGAAATACCTCTCGTGACGCGTGAAAGTAACGTATTTCATTAAAATCGCGTTATTTTTTAATGTAAAATGTCGCAGCTGCTGCGAAAATTGCTCGATAAATTATATAGTATCATCTGAAATAGTTCTAAAACTAATAATTTATTATTAATAATAAACTAAATATAATAAATAACTAATAAATAACTAATATAATAAATAACTAAAATTAATAATAATTTTCGAGAAAAAAGGGAAACTATATATAATTTCAATTAATAATCTATAAAGTTTAAAGAACTTTGAAAAAATAGCTATATACAGTTATAATTCCTACATTCTTCTTTCGTATTAATTTCGTCCAAATAAATGTTTAATTAAAACTAGACACATTTTTATTACATTAAGACATCAATGTATCAATGTTTAATATGACTCATTGTCAGATATTGCAATCTTTTCGACACACGTTTCAATCAGCCCTGATAGCGAGCGGCTGCGATAAGCGTACAAGTACCAGATGATGTCGAATTTGCGTGCACGCAATGTGAGTAAATTATGAATAAGACACGACATGACACAGTCTCTCTATCTCTCTTTTTTTCTCTTTCTTGTTACCTCTCTCTTGTTTCGAAATCTATTGAAATCCCAACGGAATACAGCATCGACCGAAACTAAACGTAATGTTACTCGTGTGTACTATTTCGCCCCGATAGAATGAAATAAATCGACGAAACGTCGCCTCTTGGGGAAATAATAAGGTTGACATTTCTATCCGAAACGCAAATATCGCAAAAGTAGGGATGCAAAAGGGATGCAAAGTTAAACCTCTGACATTTTGCAATAGCAAGAGAAATGAAGAGCGCAGTTTCACTTATCATAGCGTTATAATCGCATATCGTGCGTATCGTTGACTTTTTTATTGAATTATATAGTTTATTACGGCAGCATAAAATGTACCATTTTATATTGTATTTTATTTTATTTTATTATTGAATATATATGTGTGTGTTATATCATGTATTTCGAATTATAATTAATTATGGCACGTCTTAAAATTAGGATATTTTAGAGGAATATATCTCGTGAGTATGAAATAGAATTATTTCGACCACCGGTAGTCAATTTAGGCGAAACGGTGACTTTTCGCTGACAGTCGGAGGGCAATTTTATGCGGTTGCATTCGGTTGCGAATTAACCGTTACTTTGCGACGCTGCAAGCTGTGTTTTCCCCCTGACTCGTTATCTTTTTAATCGATTTAACGCGAATGCTTTTAAATTGAATTTGATTTAAAGGGCATTAGTCCGATTATCGCTCAAATCCTCGTGCTCTTCCCGTTCCGAAATTAAATATCACTTGACGTGACCTCGGTTAATCGAATCTTTCTCCGACACGCAATTCTCATAAAAACTCTTTCATTTGTTTACCTGGCCTATAAATCCCATTCGATCATCAAATTTGATTGTTTTCTCGTTGACAAAAATTTAATCGCAATTGTCCTAAATTTATATCAAAATTATCCCGCCTCTTCGACTTGTTCCATTTCCCGTTTTGAGGAAATTACGCGATCGCTCGTGAATAAAAAATCGACGATTTTATTACGCAGCCAACTTTCCCGAAGAAAGACGTCGCTTCGAGGAAGGAAAAAGTTGGCGCGTTTGCGCCCGCGATCACAATGCGGAAGAGAGGCGAGAGAGAGGAAAAAGAGAGACAGAGAGAGAAGGGGGAAAAAATAGAAGAACAAACTCACATTTTTCCTGGCTCCCAACGTGGTCCACGTGGCCTCGTTTGAAACGGATGGCGTCTCCTCCGAAACTCGTCGCGTCGAGCTTACATCTCCGTCGCGCGTCGGAAAAATCGGCGATCCCTGTCGGCGAGGAAACTCGTGGGAAACCGATGACGAGGACGAGTCACGAACGGGAGGTAACTCGCGGCGCGAGGATCATCAATCCGGGATCTCTTCTCCGTGGAAGGAAAACGCGCGAGCACATCGAGTACGTTACGCGATCGCGTCTTCGGGTCGCGACTGCGCCGCGTTGTTTCCCTCTATGTTTGGCCCGCTTTCAAAATTCGCGCATCACCGGATATGTCTCGTTACGAGCGCGAGGGTTTCGCAAGCGCGTTATCTTAATCGCGGACGATTCGATCGCGGCTGGTGATAAGAACACGTCGCCAGACGGTCGCTCCGCTGCACCCGATAGGCCGACAACGCGACACAGCTTATCGCCGTACACGTACTGACACACGCCGCGCAACGTTGCGAGTTGGTGAGACGAATTCCCCGCGCATGCGTAGCAACGCAAACGCTAGCAGACGTTGTTATACCTAACAATAAGTCATATATATATTTCGTACGTCATTAGGGTTCTCCGGGAAAGGAGTAAAAAAATAATATTAAATTTGTATATTAATATATATGTGTGTAATATCTAATATGTAACATTTAATATATGTTGCATATTGTTAGGATAAGTCATAACGAAGGTATTTTTAATATTTATACGGCCTCGTCAAAAGATCGTAGGATCCTAATCAATCTTAGCACGAATCTATTAAAGCCGGTCAGGTGTTTAATGACGTAATACGCGCATGTGCAAGTCTCGTCGGAAATTTTTTTCCCCTGCGGCGATTCGAAATTGGCGTTCTCTGGTGGTGAATAAGTGCGAGCGATGAAGAGAAAGTCCCCATGATGAGACGAAGCGCGAAATGTTACTAGGAAAGGCGCGTTTACAAGAAATATGATAGTTGATTTGGATTGGCTGACGAACGGTATGTCATTCATTACGTTGAAATATGTTTTTTGATCGATTGTCATCCATTAAATTATGTGATTCATGTATAACATTATTGATTTAGTTTGGTAATTAATAATTAATATAAATTTTGGACAATTTTGCTGAACTTTACTTTTTTGTAACAATTGTTATCTAGTTGATTCATTTTGTAAGTTAATTATAAAATTACATGTATATTTTTATCAATCAATAAGCAACGGGATAAGCATTATAAATCTTTCGGGGACAAGATAAAAACTATGAAATTTTTCTTTTCATGCATATTAAATGGAGCAAGACACCCTGACTGTCAAATATTTACCTTTCTTTTCAGCTAAATTTTATGCTCAGTCCTTTCTTTCTCTCGAACTTCTAAATATATATCTGTCTTATTTTATTTTGTTTCGGTTAAAAAGAGCAATTTTTTACGTCAGGTATAGTGCGCTGCAACTTTAATGCCTGTTCGCAACGCGTCGGCGGGACGCGGCCTAGGGGAAAAGTGACGTCAGCGCCGTCATTGCCACCGCCTGACCGCCACTGTCAGCACCGTCGCCGTCACCGCCGCCGCTGTCGTCGTCGTCGCCGTCGTCGACACCGAGTAGCGAAAGAGAAAGAGCTGGTCTTCCTTCCTTCCATCGCGCCGTATTGTATCTTGTATCGCGTTCGTCTTGTGCCGCGTCGTTCGATATCGCGTACGAATCGCGCACCGCGAATCTTCTCCAATTCCTCGCTCGCAGGAGGATCGCGACGCGCGAGAGACCGACGAGAAGAGGAAGAAACGCGTACGTGTAAGACACATACTCGCACTCGCTCTCCTGCCTTCGATCTCGCTCTTCGAATCCGGCTCCTCTAACCCGGACCACGAACATGAATGAGGAATACGACGCGATCGTGCTCGGCACCGGCCTCAAGGAGTGCATCCTCTCGGGCATGCTCTCCGTCAGCGGGAAACGAGTGTTGCACATCGACCGCAACAAGTATTACGGTGGCGAATCGGCCTCCATCACGCCCCTCGAGGACCTGTTCGGGTAAGTGCTCGATGGTTTGCCCTCCGTTTCCCTTCTCCTTCCCATTCCCGTATCACCTTCCCGCCTCTCCGATGAGAACAGGCGATGCGAAGGATCCAGGGGACACTCGAGGGACACCTATGGGGCGTCGCAAACGTCCACGAGCGTTTTCTTTAAGCATTTATGTCATATCAGTTCCTCCTCCTCTTCCTCTCGCGATACAGGCGGGAAATCGTCGACAGCTGGACGTGATTACGGATATTGATAACACGATACGGAATTTCCTCCCTTTTTACTCCGATTGAAATCTCTCGCCGACCGATTATCTCCGCGAGCAGAGAGAAAAATGACAGCGAGAGGTGAGGAAGAGAGAGAGAGAGAGGGAGAAAAAGAGAGAGAAACGGAAGATATGTTCCGCGGGGAACGCACCGAATCGTCGGAACTGCGTCGTATACGGTGGGGACAAAGGGGCAAGAAGGGGGAAGGGTATCGATTCTGGAGCCCGCATTCCCGCGGCGCGCGCGAATCAACACCGCAAAACACTCTTCTCGTTTCGCGATTGATCGAAGTCGATGTCGAAATGCTCGATGTACAGGTAACATCTCTCTCTCCCTCTCCCTCTCCTGAATTTTATTTTCGTATAAATCGTGCGTCAGAATTATGATTAGAATACAGTATAATTATTCATTTTAAAAACGCTGATTTTAAACACATTTTATCGTCTTGATATTAATCGTTATCATGTTATTTGATTAATAAGTATGTTATTATTAGATGAATAATATTGTAAAAAGTATCTCGAGCATTCTGATGTCACTTAAAAGGTTTTTGTTTGTCTCACATTTTTTCTGTATTTATTTCATAAAATGAAGAGAAAACTGATTACGTTATAAATATTAAATACTCTTAAAAGGAAATAAATAAAAACCAAAACATGATAATTATGATATCAAACGAATATATAGTATATTATATGAAAGTTTTTATATCTTAAAAGTATTCATCCTCAAGCACAGAAATATTGTAAAAAAGAATCGATACATAATCGCGTTATAATAACTGTCATAGATAAAAACGAATCAAAATACATTATGATAAAATATAGAATTTAGGAAAAAAAAGGAAATGGAAGAGACGAAAGCTCGAATTAACAGATTTATTTATATGATGTTAGAATACATTCTAAAGCACAGAAACGGACACTGTATTTCATTCTAAGTATAGCGAGTATCACTGCGAGCACCCGACACTAATTGTGAATTCCGGTCGTTGCTACCGGTCGAAAGTACATAGCGGAAAGTTCGGTATCGTCAGCTTCGCAACGGTTACACTTGAGTATAAAGAGAGAGTGCGAGAGCGGGGACGGGAAGAAGAGACGGTGTCCGCCCTGCGCGCAAAAGAGAGAGAGAGAGCTTACTGGATCGAATGTGGCGAATCGTCATCATCGTGGAATTTTGCCCTACACTAAATCTTGGATTCATCGCGATATTTCATCTACGAAGATTCTATGAAGATATTAAATTTTATTTCAATATATTTTTATATTTTTAATTTTTATACATCGCAGTCCCGTTTCATTTTGGCTCTGTTCTTAGCTATATTTTTTCTTTTATCACTAAAAAGCGCGAGCATATATTTACTTATTTTTCCAATATTATTTCAAATACAAAAGATAGCGAGAATACAAAAGGGAAAACTACATAAGGCTCTTTGCGACCTATATATTTCTTACAATTGTTATATTTAGTTTTATTCGCATATTTTATATTTATTTTTATTTCCTTTTTAAATTTCCATTTTCTTATCTTTCTTTTCCTACACATTTTATTTCTTTTCTTTTTCGAGATTTCTAATTCTTTTTTTTATATTTTATTATTTCTCTTTTCTCTCAAGTAAAATTCTCATACCTTTCGCAAACATAACGACCTCGTTAACCTTATTTTATTATGGAAAAATTCCCAACAAATGATAGCATTATAGTAGCATATTGATATGATTTAATATATTTCAATATATACATAGATCTCTACAAATGTACACATCGATTTGCTACGTCATTATTGGTGCAAGATATTTTTCCGTAATTATCATTATATCTAACTACAACTATCTACTCGATACAATCTACTCTATCTACTCTATCTACTCTATCTACTCGATACAAAATATTAAATTTCCTTCGACATCAGTCACCGAGTTTAATTTAATTTCATAGCAAAAGCTACGCTCGGTATTAAATATTTTAATAGATGATAATTTTACTGCGCGTTTGTGAGAATTTTAAATATAAAATTTAATTTAATTATTAATAAATATTTTTTTCTTCTGTGTTGCGATAAAAATTAAACATATTTTATAGCTATAATTACACGAAATGCATACGCCACATTATCATGCGTAAAAAACAGAGAAGAGAGAGATAACGTTCGTTATATTTTTTTCATCGTGGCATTTCTTCATTCGGTCGTCTCGTGATAATCGTTTAAAAAAATACATTATAAAAAGAGCAAGTGTCAAAAGTTCACGACTACAATCTTCTCTCTCTCTCTCTCTCCCTCTCCCCCTCCCCCTCTCTCTCTCTCTCTTTCTCTCTTTCTCTCTCTATCTATCTATCTCTCTTTCTAAAATCTTTCCTCTTTTCTGTTTCTCTCACCGCGACCGTTTCATTGTATAGTAATTGCATTCTGTTAAAAAGGTGCAATGTTACCTGAAAAACACGGATATCCTGTTGTCAGCATTTGATATATCCGTTACATTCTTTTGTACAGCAACGTGCGCGGGCATAAAAGTCCGAGGAGAAGGAGGAAGAAGACTTTATTCGTGCCAAATGCAGATGGAAAGCGGAACGACGACCGCTTCGAAAAGATTGCACGTAATTATGTGCTTTGCGGAAAAACGCACGTCGCGACACGCGAATCCCGGTAGCTTTTCGTCTCACGATTACAAATGCAAATTTGATGAATCTAGACAAGTGGAAAAAGTAATTAGCTTCAATTTAAAATGTAAATAGACATATTGTATAATACAAATATTTTTTTATACATATTTCTTTTCGCGCGCGTGCAATAATCTTTTTCTTAACATATATAGTATATTGTATTTCTTGATATATACAAAAATTTGCATAATTCTATATGTTTCTTGTATAATATAAATATAAAGTTATTTATATAAAACTAAAATAAATCTAGATAGAGAAGTAATATAAAAAATTGCGTAATTTTGTATAATAAATATGAAATTAATTAAAAAATATGTACATAAAATTAAAACAAATCTAGATACAGAAGTAAAAAAAGCAATGGATTGCATAAAGAGAATAATTGATTATACGAGATATCCTCTACATCATTCGTACCACATACGCACACACACACACACACACACACACACACATAAAATTGCGCAATTGCGTTTATGTTATACCCAATGTACTTCTCTACGGATTCGCACTTGGCGTCATTGATACAGGGAAAGTAATAACGAAGAGCGATCCCCCTTATCTCCAATAAATCATCATCGTGCAGCTAATTCACTCATACCTATCGCGTTATCAATTGCTATCCTTGATGTTCGCGTCACCTTCGCGATATCGCTCAATCATCATTTAGTGACAAGTTGTTCAACTGGTTGAATGCAACGGATGCAAATTTGTGAATAACATTTATGCCGTACCTTATTGCTTCGTACAATAGAGCAGCCTCATGCAAAAATAATTCTTATTCTGAACGAAGATAAAGTCTACGGAAACGGAAGCGTTCGATATAAACGTTTAATTACGATTGATAAGATTGATAAAAATCGACTAATTAGTGCCTTGATCAAGATCCTTTTATTATTAATTTTTATTATTAATTTTTGTCATTTAATTTTTTTTGTAACAAATTCACATAAGTTAATTAACAGATAAACGAGGCTTTTAAAAGGCTAATTATCGCGTAAAAGGCAATTAAATTTAATTAAATTTTATTTTTCTCTACCAAACTTTATTGTACGTTATGTTATTGAAAATATTATAATATACTCAACAGATAAATTTATAACATAAATAAAAATTAATTAATTAATTTAAATATCGTTTGACCGCGTTTTGTATTATTGCGTTTTTATATTATTACTCATAATGATGTTTATATTGTTTAGAAAATTCAAGGCCCCGTCGCCGGATGAGAGTTATGGTCGCGGCCGGGACTGGAATGTCGATTTGATTCCTAAGTTTCTAATGGCAAATGGTCTTCTCGTCAAGCTACTCATTCACACGGGTGTGACGCGTTATCTGGAATTCAAATCGGTGGAGGGCTCATATGTGTACAAATCGGGCAAGATCTCCAAAGTACCGATTGATCAGCAGGAAGCTCTGTCCAGTGACCTGATGGGTCTATTCGAGAAGCGGCGATTCCGCAGCTTCCTCATGTGGGTGCAGAATATGCAGGAGGATGATCCGAAAACGTGGGACGGCTTCGATCCCTTCAACAACAATATGAGCGCGCTCTACAACAAATTCAGCCTCGACAAAAACACGCAGGACTTTACTGGACATGCGTTAGCGTTGTATAGGTAATAGTTAATCGAGACTCACTTGAGAGAGAATAAGTTGTGAGATTGAAAAAACCCATGAAACAAACGCATTCCTTTCCATTGTCTTTCGAGAATGCTTTATAAGAATATAAATCCAAATCTATAAAATATATATCTATCAAAAAATATTTATTTTCTAATCAGGGATGATGACTATATAAGCCAAATCGCGATACTCACCATCAGGAGGATCAAATTATACAGTGACAGTCTAGCACGATACGGGAAATCGCCGTATCTCTATCCGATGTATGGTCTAGGCGAACTTCCTCAGGGATTCGCACGACTTAGCGCCATTTATGGCGGTACATACATGTTGGACAAGCCGATCGATGAAATCGTCATAAAGGATGGCAAGGTGAGTATTTTCTTATATTTGCCACATCACCGTGACTAAACTTAATCGCTAAAGTTGGTCATTATCTTTTCCAGGTGGTTGGCGTCCGTTCCGGCGATGAGACAGCTCAATGTAAACAAGTTTTTTGTGATCCTACGTACGTACCCGACCGTGTGAAGAAGGTCGGTCAGGTGATAAGATGTATATGTCTCATGGATCATCCGATTCCGAGCACGTCCGATGCGCTATCTACGCAAATCATCATTCCTCAGAAGCAGGTAATTGAACATTATACTTTCCCTGCTTTAAGTTTTCAAGAATTATAATTATATTCTGACATAGTCGTTTTCTTCATTTCAAAGAGTTCTATAATAATCTATTTTAAATTTATAAAATATTGTTATAGAACTTTTTAAAATAAAGGAAAAGATTAATTAAAATACTTTGCAAATCATTTATTCATATAGATATGATTTTTGTTATTGTAATATTTGTATAAGAATTTCCTATTTGTCTTATATATTCAAACGCTTTTTTTTCACAGGTCGGTCGTAATTCCGATATTTACGTGTCTCTTGTGTCGCATACTCATCAAGTAGCAGCGAAGGGCTGGTTTATCGCTATGGTCTCGACCACGGTGGAGACGAAGAATCCAGAGGTTGAGATCAAACCCGGTTTGGATTTGCTCGGTCCAATTAAACAGAAGTTTATTAGCATTTCCGACTACATGGTGCCGGTGGACGATGGTCTCAACAGTCAGATATTCATATCTACCAGCTATGATGCGACCACACATTTCGAGACGACCTGTTTAGATGTGCTCGATATATTTAAGCGTGCTACCGGTGAGGAATTCGACTTCAACAAGGTCAAGCACGAGCTCGGCGATGAAGATCAGTAACCGTAATTATGGAATGCGCGCGTGCATTTTACACCATATTACATCATGGAAAAATCGAAGCGTTCAGTGAATTCGTGTATTCGAGTAAACAAGAAATCATTACTCGATGGTTGCCGATTGCGTCGGCATGCGACAGTGTCTCAAGGCAGATATCACAAAACAGATGTCACGTTTGCGAGCAGACCTGTGCCTAATTATGTAGGTTCTCTTTGATAGAGGATGAAAAACGAAGGTAAAGTTGGCTAAATTCTTTCTCTTTCTCTTTGTCTATTCTACTTCGTCCTAATCTCATCCCCTGCTATTCCACGAGCTCTTCAAGAAAATCCTGTTCGAAAGCGACACGAATTCTCTATTACATTTACATGGAAGAACTCTCGGACTATATTTCTACGACTTCAATAAAAAATACCGGATTATAAACTTAGATCTCCTCTTGTAAATTTATATTTTACATAAAATTTGAATCCGATCTGCCAATAAACGTTCGAACAGAAGATAATAAAAAAAAGACAAAGATGATCTCGAGACGTCCGTGTCACTGCGTGTATACAATATATATGTACCATATTTTAATGTATTGAAATATAGATAAAAGATCCATCGGCAGATTACACTGTACAAAAAGGAATTTAGGTACATCACATAAGAAATATAATATGCCGTTAAGTTGATAATTGATTAACGATAACAAACAATATAAGTACCATATCTGTCTAGATTAGAATTCCTATAGATATAGAAAATTTCGGAAATTGTGTGAATCTGGGAAAGTTTATGTTGTCTGAATGTTAATTATCTATAGGTTGTCTAAGTTGCATTTATTAAACAAAGTGATTGAGCAATGATTTAGTTTTACGAATCGCGGACATGGGTGTTCTATCGATGACTCTATTGCTTGTCGATTGTCTAGTAAAATTAGAAATAATATGCAGTTATAATGCATTATATTTCAATATTTATATATATAATTATATTTCATCTTCTATATTTGTTTATTCTATTGAAGAGATATTCATTTAAGAAACAAATCGATTAGGTATCTTCAACGTGCATTCGAAAAACAAAATTAGGGATAGGAAAGTCGCATATTCGTATACACTTGAGACAAAATCGATAGAAAATGGAAAAAAAGATCGATATCGAAACGTTGGAATGAAGAGGAGGATATCCAAACTCTCCGGAGCGGCCAAGCATTTCACATTATATATAGATATTATTATAGATCTATATAGTATATATTATAAAAAAAGATATGTATACATATATATAAATATGAGAAAGTGGAGTCGTTGAAATATTGTTGTTTCGTGTGAGCTTGAGATCCGGATTATTTCTTTTGCATAATAAAAAAAATATGGGAGTATCTAGTAATATTATTATCATGTCGTTACCTGATAAAAAGAATGCAAATACTCGCATATGTTTATCGAATAAATAAATGGCGAATTAATGGTGGAGGAGAAAGAAGAAAAGGATCGACTGTTTTCCTAGATTCACCCTTTTGCTTGCACTCTCGCATGGGTTACTATAATGATACACGCAATTTCGCACGAAAATCTAATGGAAAGAATGGAGAGCTATACTCATATAACGAACATTTATCTTGACCGCAGCAGATATCTTTCACAATTATCCATCAACTTGTAACACACGAGAGCAGAATAGAATAAATGATATTGTATTAATCATGTACTTTTTGCAATTTGTCGACCAATCTCGCTAAAAATCGAAGAGTATGAAGAATTTATAATAGTAGTCGCATTTTTATATAAAATTTTAATGTTATTTTTACATCATGTTGCGCACAATTTCAAAATGTAAAGATTATTATCTCGGCATCCTAAGACAACGAGATTGTTGTGAACAACTGGCGAAGAGAACGTCTCGCCAGGAAGTTGCTTGATCGCCAACAATTTACCTTCCGAAAGATCGAATACTTTAAGGATACCATCTGTACATACTACAAACATACGTCCATTTTCGCACCAAGGAGTCGCAAAAATAGGCGAAGGCAATTGTAACGTATATTTTAATTTTGGTTCATTTCTTTCAGTCTTCCTTGGCATTTTCAAACAATACACATGTTTGTTATGGCTAGCCAAAATAACATACTCGTTGTTTGTAGATTCGACATTCCATATCACGGGATACGAAAACACATTGCCGTGTATCATATATCGCCACATCTGTAATAACAAAAATTTTATTATAACAGACGTCGAGAATGATAAATGTCAAACGACAGAGAAAGTGACGGATAGTTGTCTACCTGACAATCAGTTTCGATATCGAAACAACACAATGCTCCAGCCACGGAACAAAATAAGACGTATCCGGTTCGAAGAACAACGGGTGCGACGAAAATTGGATCCTGCAATTTACGTTTCCACGAAATCTGTCCGGAAGATTGCTGCAAGGCTACGCACGAACCATCCAGTGTCCCGAAAAGAACTGAAGTTGATTCTCGATGCAAACAACCGGTAGCACAGATTCCACCTTCGCTCGCTTCAGTTTTCCATATTTGAGTACCATCCTAATATATGTGTATATATATATATATATATATATATATATATATATATATATATATATAAAATATATAATATATTAATAATAGCTTCAAGAGATAGCTTCTAGTAGTGCTGACTTAACATTAAGCTGTTTACCTCGATTGAAAGACAGTATACGTAGTGGTCATAAGAACCTACAAATATTTTGTTCCCTTGTGTACACGTTATCGCCGTACATTTCACCATATCTTGCGTTTGAAATTTCCAAATTACTTCGCCAGTTTTTAAATGGATACAGTATATATACCCATCGTAACAACCTATCAATGATATTGTTAATTAATAGTTCTTAAATTGTATTGTATTAATATCAAGCGATATATTTACCTACAATGCCATGAAATTCCGTCAGGACTAAAACAGAAGCTTCTATCCTATTTGGTAATTGAATCTCGTACGGTTTATTGTTAGTTTTTAGCAAATCAACAGTACATATAATACCGAAGTGTGAGCCGACTGTTGCGTACAATTCTGTCCTAAAAATTAATGAACGCGTGAGAAAAAGAGACGAAATATCTTTTCATAATATTTTCTTTTTCAGAATTATCTTTACTTAGAATAACAGTATACTATTGGTGAGGCATCGACACACTTTTGCAAATTATATGTCGCTAATAATTTAATATTTTCTTCTTGTGAGAGAGCAGTACTTTCTTCTTGCATTAATATATTACTGTAAGTTTTTCCTCTACATTTATACCATTGACAGAAATTTTTTTTATTTAATGATGAAGTATTATTCGACGATGATTGTCTTGTTAAGAATTCTTTTGCATTACATTTCTGGGAAGATTTGTCATCAAAAGAAATGTTGACGCGCCGACTGACATTCTTGCTGCAGCCTTGTTGAATTAAAGTATCTCTAATATAATTGATGCATTCGTTGCACGTAACGTCCTTTAGTAACATACCAATTAATTCAGGAAATTCCGCGTTAAAAACTTCAGCAATAGCGCTTGAGATTTGAAGTGCTGCTATTGACGTACCACCTGACGTTAAAAAACCGGTGCCTTTAGAGTTTATATGATTATTCCACAAGTTTGTAAATATTTCACCTGCATCAGTACGCAAATCGTTAATAATTTCTGTTTCAGATTCTTGACATATTTTTTTTAATGATGTGTGACAAATCTTTCCACTAGTAGTAAAATTAAAATCATTTATTATAATTATTTTATCAGGTTTATAGATCGCTGGTAATATTTTTAAATGCGATATTAAATCTTCTTTCAACTTAGGAAATTCTTCTTTGGGTTCTGTAGTAGATACACACAGGTATAATTTGTGACTTTTTGCGTCCCAAAATGTGGCACAAATTCGTACGAAATTTAATTCCGTCGCGACTTTCTGAAGTTCCTGTAAATTCACTTTATTTCCAAATCTCTTTATGATATTATTTCGTCTTCCTTTATAAAATATTCTACCCTGATCATCTGTCTAAAAAGAAAAAAAACAACATAAATTTAAATTTGTTTTTTTATTGAAAATATTTAATTTGAAGAAAATTAAAATATATTTTGTCAATAAAACTTACTGAGACTATATCGCCAGTATTACGAAAAATTGGTTTAGTTAAATTTTCGTCCATTTCATTTCCAATGATACAAATTCTACTGATACTTCCTATATTGAAAGCAAAGAAAATAATTTATATTAAAATTAAATTACACAAACATCTTTTATATATGTTATTTCATATATAATTGTAATGTTAAAAAATTGAAAAACTGACCGATGTAAAGAGTGCCTTCACCTCTAGTTATCACTTCATTAACTTCATTTCTAATTTGAAATATAATTTCAGATAATGGTTCACCTAAATAAGATTCATCTGTACTGTTGTCTTTGGTGATTTCATTAATACTGGACCAACACGATATTTCGGTTATACCATAGATATTAAATAATCGTGTCATATTCTGCAGATGACTAGCTTTTAAAATTAATTTCATACTAGGAAATGGTTCTCCACCCAAGAGAAGAACTCTTAACTGAGAATCTTTGTCCAAGATTGTTGTCTTCAAACGTTCAGTGGACCATTTGTGAAAAAAAAGCGATGGAGTAATTTGAAGAAGAGTTACATGGCTATGGAATATTTCTTCTAAGAGTCTGAAAAATATTTTTGGTTGTACATATATTGTAAACTTTATATTATTTTTTTTAACATTTTTCAAATTTGTTATATAATAATTATTCACCTGTTAGCTTCACTTTTTAATGATTTTGAGACCATGAACAGAGTTGCAGTGCAAGAAAGACTTAGAAAAATTTCAACAATACTAGGATCAAAGGTAAAATTTGTTAATTGTGCAATTTTATCAGAGTTTGTTACATTAAGGATTCTCCTCAAATCTATAATATTAGGCAATATACAAGAATGAGGTACTTTAACTATTTTTGGGATCCCAGTTGAGCCTGAAGTTGCAATTGCATATGCAAAGTGATACCATTTTCTATTAATATTTTTTTCTTGAACATTTCTTAATTTTGTTAAATATATTGATTGCCCATGAATATCAAATTGATATATGATATCTCTATTAGATGTCACATATTTTGTAAAAATATAGTTTATATGTAAAAAGGTAAGCATCTGTTTATATGTCAACGGATCTTCAGGTATATTGAGAAAAGCATGTCCACTATCAAGAATTCTGCCAAGAAAAAAAGGGATTTGTAGTAAATATTTATATATTATATAAATATAGATAATCATAATCTTATATATTATATATAAAATATTATGATATATAATATATATATATATATATATATATATATATATATAATAGAGTAATGAATTGAATATTTAGTGGAACAATTATATATATCTTACCCAAGCATTAAAGAAGGAACACAATATTCTAAAATATCCAAGTTAATACCAATAAATTCAGGATACTGTATACATTTCAAACAATTTGCAACTACTTCTTTCATCGCTTGCAATTCATTGTAACTTATAGTCTTGACTTCCTTTAAATCGTGATATTCTATAGCAGCTTTATTAAAATGAAGCCAATTACATATATCATGTAAGGCTTGTGGATAATCTGGTTTGTTGTCATTTTGCAATTTTAATTTTTTAGTATCGTTAACTAAAAACATGAAAGATAAATCAAAATATATATTTACATTTGGAAATTCGTGTTGCTTTTTGTAAAACAATTATGACAATTGAATTTAATATTAATTAATATTAATCGATGTACTCACTTGTATAACTCATTGTACATTGTAAAGTATACACATATCCACTGGTATTACATTAAAAGTATATAATGTTCTTTTTAAAATTAAGCGTATTATTGAAATTCACATAAAATTAATTTTTTTTAATAAGTATAAAATGAGACGTTAAATATTTATTCGAGTAAGTCTCGTTGCTTAATGTTTTGATATAAAGGTTAGGAAATGTGGGTTCTCAACTTATAATTTTGCAAGTACATTCATATTTGCGCACCAAAAATATATGTAAGAATAATAAAAATAATTAATTTTATACTATAGAACTGCATTATTAATCAGCAAAATAATCTTATGCATTTGTAATTAATTAATTACTGAATTTAAAGAAAAGTTATTTTTTTTTTAAGGAAAGGATTTGAAGAATGCAAAATACAAGAGAAATTTTTAAAATTTTTCACTTAATATATTGTTAAATTGTGTGTATACAATTTTCTTAAATAAACATTTATATTTTATGCTAAAAATATAAAGCAACTTAACACATAAAAGTGTACTTATATCATTCTATACTGATATCGAAAAATTTTGTATTCTTCTAGAATTTAAAAATTAAAGTATATAGATAGGGTTATATCTCTGACACAGTAATTCATAATTCTATATTTATTTTTAATGGAAAATAAATAATGGATCTAGTGGTAGAATAGGAAGTGGTCACAATTTTAGTATTTTTACCACAATTAGTCGACTATTTTTTTTTTTTAAATCTTACTCTCACTGGAGAAAAATTTATTAAAACAACAGAGTTACTAAATTCTAAAGTTCAGTAATGCAATGATCAATTGTTCAACATTCAGAGATATTTTTCCATTTTATTTCTCTTCACACCATTCGTTCTCCTTGCGCACCTGCTCTTCCTCCGAAGCAGTGAAATCATTCTTGATGTTGAATGTTTTACGTATCTCCTCAGGTGTTTTACCTTTGATCATATTAGCGACGGTTTTGCACGTGACATCTAACAGACCCTTGATATCGAGATAATTAGCTGCCAAAATCAATTCAAAGAGAGTACCTTGATCAACCTGTGAAACACATATTCATGTTTGAATCATTAAAAAAAATTTAACTCTTATCATAATGTGGTTTCGTTAATAATATTATTATTTCTTAATAAGTCTAGACTTGTTTAGATTCACCAAATGATACTTACTTTCAGAAAATCAGCATCCCATGAACTGATATCATCAGTACGCTTCTCTTTGTTCTCATCATCTTCTGGTGGTGGAGGATCATCCTTGTGATATGTAGCCCATTGTATAACCTTCCTGAGGATTGCGGAATTAACATTTGGTAACGGCACAACCTCTTCCTCATCTTCATCCATACCAAGATCCTCTAACATGGTTTTGATGGTGACCGAACATTTTGCGATCTCGACATCAACCTCAAACACCTCGCCATCAGAGCTCTGCAGCTTTATGTTAGGCATCTGCATATATGAAAACATGGGAAGTATGTTACTATATACAAAACTAGGTAATATAAATCATGTTGATTTATATTATTTTATCTTCGATGTTTTTTCATAGCATCCTAAGCATTCTAAGTAAACTTCACATTTCCTTTCATGAAATAGCTAATGACAATTTAAATAATTAAACAAAAAGTGTAATTTCAAGTTGAAGGATAATCTAAATTCTAGATGTATAAGAAAAAAGAAATAATAATCCCCAATTTATAGGATCTGTTTATCTAGATTTAATTGATTCTATTTTATTTTACGAGATATGAAGCACATGCTGAGAACAAAACAAGAGAAAAGAAAAGAAAAAGAAAATAACTATTACTCATAAATAACCGATAAAGGATTTTTCTTATTATACATACAAAGCAATGTATATACACATATTTCGCTCCCTCTCCCTCTCTCTTAATCGAATATAATCTACATAACATAATATAATCATAAAATTCTAACCTAATCTTACGACCAATAAAAGTATTTGATTGTACATAACAGAATGTTTGTAAACTTGAAAAAAATTTACTTCTCATATACATCTCAAAATTTTTCTAAGTGGCAAAAAAGAGGAAAACAAGAAGTTTATGAAAAATTTAATTTCGAGATTTTTCAAAATTGTTCATAGTAATCAAAAGATAGGACTAAAAAACACATGACACATTTTCAGAATATTCCGGAAAGCATTCAATTACTACGCCACAGCAAATAGAATTTTACTTGGTTATAATTGCAATTTAATCTTTTTGGGCGTTTATTTATACACATTGTTGTTCAACTCAATCGTACGTGTACCATGTTAATTTATGTATGCGTGTATGCTATTTTTATTCTTTACGTTATCTCGTTCTATTGTTCATACTACAAATAATCGCACAAAGAGCTTTTTTTCGATATGGACGGACTATTATCGGTCGCCTGGATTATTTCAATTAATTAGAAAATGTGATAATTACCTTTTTAATGGCAAAATAGAAATCGTCGATTCAAGCGTCGCTCTTTACCTTGTAGACTCTCGCTCTTTTCTTTCGACTCTCCACGTTCTTGCTGCTCGCCTTGAACGATCCTCCTGGTCTTACTCTTCGACAACTATTTCCACTCGGTACCTGATTCAAAATGATAGAGCCAGCTACCTACGTGCTATGTGTTGTCCTCCGAATTTTGTCTATTCGTTGAGAACAGGAAGAGAAAGCAAAGGGCGAGGGAGAGGGAAAGTCTTTTGAGAGTTTCGATGCGTCACCTGGAACTTTCAGTTGGAACTTTTTAATCAATTTACTCGACACAGTCGGTAGGATCACTGTTTCGAGGTATATTCGTGCTGCATCAAGATCGATTGAAAATGATGACAGATGGTGCCACAAGGCAGTTTTTTTGTTGCAAAATTCAAGCAGTGCAGCATCGACATGATTATAATGGAAGCTTCATGAAGAGGATTATGTATATGTGCTCAAGAATATAATATAACAAAAGGTACGATTATAAAGTATAATATTCACTGTTTTTTAGTAAAACATTTACTATCATAGAAAATTTTTATATATTTTATTGTATATTAATTTTTATATAAATTTTTCTCTTTTTCCGTTTCTTCTATTATTTCATATTTTATTAAGAAAATCAGTTTTATTATAATATTATGGAATATTTATGTAATGTTCATGAAACGAAGAGACATGTATATATGTGTATAAAATGATTTTTATATCAAAAAGCTAAACTAAATATAAAATGGCTGTTTTGTATGCGTTCGGTATCTCGTAGATAGGCAGCCGTATTTTAGTCGCGTATTCTGTTTTTAAAAGGGCGCTCAACAAGTTCCTCGTGATTTCCGAAGGTTTGCAAAGACAAACTGTTTATCCAGTCAAAAAGACAAATAACACGTATGTTAAAACCAACGCCACATTTGTTGTTTGTTATTGTTATACAGCTTTCAAAGTATTAAACGAGCCGAGTAAGTTAAATTACACTCGTATTTACAATCTCTTTCTTGGGACGATATATCTTATTACGCGATTGATTGTTGACAAAAATTTCACTTCGAAGAAAGCGCAAATAGAATTAAATTAAAACTAAATCAATCACATAAAAGTTATCAAATTAAAGCGCAAGTTTTATTCTTCGGCTTCCCTAAAGAGGATGAATGATTGTAATAAGATTAGAGATGTAAACGGGGATTTATCGTAATCGGAGAATTTTATTAAATGAATTTTTAATTATGTAACATGAATCGTAGGAAACTCGCATTTACCGATGTACGTGGAAATCCAATATTTTTCTCCTCCTTTCAATTTTAATTTTCAACCTAATACTTTTGATACTTTAAGCAGTTAGACCTCTTAGTCAGATACACCTCTTTTAAAATTATTTAACTTATAATTTTGTCAAAATCTCCCTTTTAAAATTTTTAAGTGGGGAACTCTTCGTTTATTACTTATTTAAGATAAATAATAAAGAGAACTCAATTTCTATATAAATTAAATCTATTAAAATTCTTTAGAATTTATAAACATGAGAAAACTGAAATTGAAAATAGGAGTAAATTTTGATTCGCGGATAGTGCGGCGCAGAGATGATCTTACTAGAAATGATATTACTTTAGTAAGGGATCAGTCTGACATATACATAGTAGTTCCTGATCTCATATTCTTAAGAAAGCTCGGAACATATAAATAAAGAAAAATTATTTCAAGCATTTGACAGAAGAAACCAAAATACATAATTATAGTTTACTCTGATAATATTCTCTGATAATATTTATTTTCTACATTCTTCGAAATTGCTTTAATTAAAAATTGTAACATGAACCAATATTATACATTTTTCAAGCAAAACCAATCAAGACCAATTTTTTGTTTCTCGAATAAGTCACTGTCCTTTGTCGCGCTCGCTATCGCATTGTAATAATTTTTTTCAATCCCCCTTCCTTAGTAAGTAGATAATGGAGCCGAGAAAGTATCAAACGTGACAGCGCGATTTTTAGAGGCCATAGAATTACGCACAAACTCGACTCCAGGAATCTATAAAGTTCACGATGGCGGGCGCCAGCACCCACGCGAAAACACACATATACACGCGTGTAGCTAAGTTTGCGAATGCGGATAGATTAACCCTCCAGTCCTGCTCTATTAAAAAAAGAAAAAGGTTTCTCTCTTCTCAATCTTAACTTTTGTTCGACTAATAGAAATAAGAAGAACATTGAGGAAGGAAAATTCTTTGTGTTGGACATGACGATACAGATTCGTTTCAAGGTTGCAAAAAATGTAGAATAAAAGCGAAAACTAATGAAATGGACGAAGCAAACGCGAATGAGATATGGATAAATAATTACAAAAAAGTTTTCCTCAACGATTACTTTGATGTTTATATATATAATGAATAGAACTCTTATAAATCGCACTTCAAATATATTGCGAACTTTTACACAGAGAAAAATGTATACTGTATTCAAGTAAATATTCAGTTTCTCTGTAGAAAAATTCATTAATCTTTACGAAATTAACTCAGTGACTTATGACGTAAATAAACTATTCGAATACTTATTTAATAATTATTGACTGAAGTTACTTAATGAGTGCTGATTAATTATCATGAATTGGTTTTTTTAAATAAGGTATAAATTTTATCTGTCACTCGTCTTTAATGAGTTTTTTATTTTACATTAATACATCTCTCGATTTACATGATTTTTTATTTTCGGGACGATTTTTTGATTCCGAAAAAAGTAAAAAATGCAATTAATGAAGAGACTGATAAGAAAGAAATCGATAGAAAATTAAAAGTTTTTAACTCCGTCAAAGTGTGCTAAAAATGTGGGTAAACTGTTTCGCAAATTTATAAAATAATGCTGTACATTCCAGTTTTCGAAAATATTACATAAGAATCTGTTATATGTTAAATTGGTATAAAAATTTTTCAAATACAATTTCGTCCATAAGGTTATATGTGCGTCATTTATACTAAAAGGATTAAAAACAAAGAGAAGCTCGCTCGATCAATTCAAAATTCGTATTACGCGAATTCGTGGAATTACAAAAATCTCAGTTGACAATGATAAGTTAGATTGCAAAGGACAAATTGAACTAAAAATGCGCGATGTGTATTATCATTGTTTGATTAGCTACATAATTGCGTAAACATTTTAAATTGGCTGCTATTTCGAGAAAGAGTGCGTTTTGCAGAAAACATTATAATATTAATATTACATAACGCGTAACACGAATTTCTCTCGTTTAATTATCAATTAAAGAAGTTGCGAAAATTTGAGAAATGTCGCGATTTGCACATCATATAGATTATCGATGGTTATATATTTATTGATTATCGAGCTTTTTAGATTGATTCATTAATTCTGTCATTGTATGTACATTGCGATTATTTTTATTTGAAACAATGAAGTTTCGATTTTCTCGTGGACTTTTAGTAAAAAAAATTGCATATTGCATTTGACGCGATTTTCAGGAGGAATTAAAATTAATATTTTTAACAATTTTTAAATACATTATATCAATTTGAAAGAAATAAGTAAATGAGCATATATAGCTTTAATTAATGACTTTAATTAAGTGTTAAATGTTTCTTTTCATATCCAAATTAAGTTAATATATTTTTTTTAATTATTCAAGAATAAATATGTCATTCGCGTTACTCATTTAAACGAACGAAATTTTCGAATAAAATTATACGAATAAAAATATGTGTACATCTAAATCATTCTAAATAGAGATTTAAATATCTTTTTTTTCATTGTAATTTTATATTAAACATCATTTAGTCGATTTTCAATAATATTTACCACAAGATATAAATAGACAAGATTTAAGTCAAACAATCTTTAATATCAAGAAAAAGATTTATTTTTGGGATTGGAGCGAATAACATCAGCAATATGTTGGAGCTATGCGACTAATTAAATCTTTTAAAAGCTTCTTCTTTCGTGGTAAAGTAATATTCATTTTGCGTCTTCCGTTGAGCGATGTCTCAATTTTCTTTGTAAACAAATTGAATCGTGGTGACGAACAGCATCTTTTGATAAGTGTACGTGTCCAAAAAACATCTAATTCGCGGGAATTTAGTATAGAAATTATAAAGTTGATATGTAAGTTTTGTAATTTCTGTTAAATGGAAGGAAAGAGAGAAAAAGATAAACAAGTTAATTTCTCTTGAAGAGAATTCTTCGTGCATCAAGCGTATATTTATATGAAAGATATTTGCGAAAGTTTGGAAACAAAAAATTATGCGATATTTTCCGAATGCACTTATCTATCGACATTTCGAAACAATCTTATTATTGTGTTCTAATAATATCGAATCGAAATTGTGCTGCTATTTTCAACTTCAATTTTCTCAAGTTTCTTCACAGATTCTAGAAGAAAAGATTTAATTTCGAAAGGTTTAATTTATACAGGATGATTTATTAAATGATTTATTAAATGCACAGTAATATTTTAAAAAGTAAATATACACATAAATAAAGAAAATGTTATTTAAATATATCACATGTATCATGGTTTTTGAGTTATGACAGATTAAAGAGAATGCTCAAAATGCTGTGATTTGTTGTTTCAACTTATGTTATAGTACTTTATATAATATTTAGTTCCTCAACTAATTGGAAAACATATCAAACATTGTTCGAATTATTTCGAATCCATATCTTTTCTTGCAAATGAACTTTATTAATTTATATAATATATAAAACAGATTTTTTAAGTGATCGCTAAAATAAAAGTCTAATAAATTTACATCAGTAGATTATTACCATGATATTCATTTCTCTTTATTCATTGATCTAAAGAGAATAGTTTAAAAATATTCGGATTTCAACAAAGGAGTATCCTCAGGCATTTTCTTTAAACTTTTATAATTCATTTGAGAGATGTATTAATGTAAAATAATTTTTATACAGAAATTATGACCTATGTTCAAATAACATTTCTTATCTGTTTAGTATGTACATTCACTCTCTGAAGTATTACCGCACATTTATGAATCACCTCGCATAAAAATTGAATTTTTACTTTGTATCTCAAATAACAAAGTAAATTCTTTGTTTACTGTCTTCTTAGACATTTAAAACAGAAGATCAATAAAACTATACGTTAACAAGACTTTAAAAAGAACTTTGATTTGCTTAAAGTATCAAAGTTGACGTTAAATTGAAAATTAAGAAAATAGGTGTAAAATTTTAACTTGGTGAAATTTATAGAAAAATAAAATATGATAAAACACTGATAAAAATAATCGAGTGTATAGAAGATATCCATTTATTTTTCATAAAAAAGATATACAATTTAATTTAAACTAGTTATTTCCATTTGCAAAATAAAATATGATAAAACACTGATAAAAATAATCGAGTGTACAGAAAATATCCATTTATTTTTCATAAAAAAGATATACAATTTAAAATTTAAACTAGTTATTTCCATTTGCATTTATAAAATAGAGAAAAGTTATTAAAAGAATTTACCAAAAAATTGATCAAGAATTTAATAAAAACATGAAAAATTGAAATAAATTTATAATTTATATAATACATTATTTATATAATAATAATAAATATAATATTATAATATAATACTAATATTACTATATTACTACAATACTATAATATTATAATAATTTATATAATACTTAATTTATATAATAATTTAATTTACAATATATATCATTTACAATATATAATACTTTAAATATACGATTTAATTTTACAGTTACATCAACGGTGTACATTTATGAAATGATCTATTTCAAAGTACAATCAGTTTGACGTGCATACGATAAAAATAAGCTGAACGTGGCCGAGCAATATTGTAAAGTACTAGAACTTCTCTTTGAATGCAAGCTTTCTCAATAATTATGATAAAAATTGTTCAAACGATATTTCAGTAATCAGATCGCAAGCGTTAATTTCTAAAATGCCTGCCGGCGATTGTAGCAAATCGAGAAAAGGATATAAATGCTTTGAGAAGTTGTATTCATCATTATAAAGATAAACGTGTCTATGTAACGATCTCAATATGATGAATACTGAATTATACAAGCTTTCGATATTAGGAACGAAGGCGCCGCAAAGTCTATCTCACATCTCCGGTTGTCGCGGACATTCACTATCGATATTCGATCTGTATCTGAATTAATTCGTAACAATAAGATATTAAAAAACAAGAAATAATATAAAAATCAAGAAATAATATAAAATTTAAAGGATAAAAATGGATTAATAATATTTATACAACGTAATTAATTAAGTTAACTTGTTGATTTCTAAACTAACTCTCCAAACCGAGATTTTTGTCCTACTTCTCATCTCAGTTTTTAATCTAACATTTACTTTGATTTAAAAAGGTAGATTATCCTTTTTGAAACTATATAATTTTAAAAGCTCTTTTTTAAATCTCTAACAATAAATGGAAAACTGTTCGTTTATTGTCTGTTTGAGGCACATAGTATAGGAGTTCAATTTCTATATGAATTAAACTTTTTTAAAAATTATAAATTCATGTGAAAAAATTTAAAATTTAAAATTTGAATTTTTATTGTATCAGTTAATAATTATATTAAACATTTATAATGAGGATGTTGTGAAATATTTTCCATTATTTTTCTTAGTAATACTTTTTTTATAAAATAAATATAATATATTTATTATAAATATATATAATATATTATATAATTATTAAAAAGGAGGAAAAGAGAGAGAAAGAGAGAGAGAGAGAGAGAGAGAGAGAGAGAGAGAGAGAGAGAGAGAGAGAGAAATTCACTAACGATATATGTATTGAATTAATTAAAATATATACGATTTTAGAATATTAACATACAGATATTGTGTGTGTGTGTTTGTGTTGAAAACATCTAATTTAAAATTATTCTACTCTATTAAAAAAAACTTCAATAATAGGAGAAGTGATAGAAGTTTGGATAGAAATATTTTGACAATCTGACTTACAATCAATATCGTTTTTATGCTTTATTTTATCCTATCTTTTTTTACAACATAATGTCGTTATAGGTATATCCAAAACTTGTTCTAGAATTTCCGGTAAATATAAATTATATATACAGCGCGTGTTTTTCCAGAATTGCATTGTCCTTCGAGTAGTTTCGCACGTGCATTCATCCTACATACCACTTGTCAGAATATACATTTATCTATACTATTTCTTATTCCGATACGAAACAATGTATATAAACAAACTGTGAAATAAATCAATTTTTCATTGCATTGACACTTGCCAAGTTTCGTATGCTCTTTTTAATACGAGCATCGCGAATTAATCGATTCACGATTGAACGAACTTATCAAACATATCAAACTTTCGAGGCCATTATGATTCTTTTCGAGAGCAGCCAAGAATAATCAAAACCTTATTATCGAGAGATTACAATTCATTGTTGAAATTTCCGAATATTCTTATTCCACTAGGATGAAGACACGTTTTCACAATAGAAAATTTTCATGAAATTCTAAGTTCTTAAAATATCAATGATAAAAATGGTAAAAATTAAAGAAGAAGCAAGCACGCTTTTCCTTTGGATTTCTTGCTTACATTGTGAAATCAACGTTTACTTGTATATATACATACGTACAAATCTTACAAGCAATGGTAAAAAATTCTCTGAAGAATTGTGATAAAAATCACCTTTGATACTTCAGCCGATCAATATCTCAGGGTATATTGTTGCTACATGCGTAGGAATATATCATTCGTAGTATTTTTAGTTAATTACATTAACGCATTATGATGCGTACAGCTTTCGTATGAAATGTACAGTTTATCTTAAATAAATCGATATTGATCTTGTCTTCAATGATGCTTGTCCTCAATTTCATATTTACATCTTGGCATTAGTACGAGATCAGTTTGCTTCCGATAAACAAGAGATATCGTTAATTTTGAAATTAAATTGAATGGAATGGAATTGAAAATTACATTGAAATTACATTTTCTAATATTTCCTCTTTCGAGAATAGAGAAAATAAATAAACATAAAGTTATAAAGATGTTATGTATAGAAAAGAAATATAAAATAAAAATCATGTCAAAGAAGTGATTCTAAAGAAATCTTTTAAAAATTCACTTTTTTCCTATTATTTATAAAATATATACATTTTAGTTTTTTTTACTTTATAAAATATTATAAATATTTATATTTTATAAAGTAACATTAAAAGGATATAAAGAATTAAAATTTTATAGTAGTAAAAAATAACTTAATAGCAAAAATATTTCTATTAAAAGTTTTTGAATATATGAAGGATATACACATGGAGTGTCTGGCAATAATCATGTCATGTTTCATGTGCACATAAAGCGAATTAAATCGAGTAGTAGTGCACGATTTTCGCAATAATTAACAAGAAATGAATTTAAAAATAATTGGTCGATCTCACGAATATAAGTACATGGCGAGAAAGACATCCTACTGTTATACTGTTGCTAAGCGCGATACATAATTAAACGCTTAATTATAAATCCTTCATTAACGCTTTATTATATGCCTAATAACTGCGTAATAATGAGTTGTCTTTTCTCCCCATGCATTTATATTCGCGCGGCGATTTTTAAAATTAATTTACTAATTATTGCGAAAATCGCGCAAAACTGTAAAAAACTTTCTTTCCGATTTAACCCGTCCTATCTACAAAAGAAATGATACGGTTATTACTGAACATTTTATATAAATTTTCAAATATTAAAAATCTATAAATATTTACAAACGAAGGGAAAAAAAGTTGTAGAGAGACAAGAGATTGTTTGAAATGAGATAAAATGGTTTCTTTTACTTTATATTAAAGGGCTTAAAATTATGAATGAAATCATTGCTATTTTTAGCCGTATTTTCAACACATTCTAATCGTCAGAATCGAAAATGTCAAAGTAACAAAAGTGCAATGTATATGTTACCTTTCTCGAAAATAAATTACGTAATAACAATAAATTATAAAAATCTAGTACACTTAGGTTTTCGATAGATAATCGCGGATCTGAACAAACAAATACCAGCAAAAATATATATGTCGTCGCTTATAATACGAAGAATATATGATGAAAATTGTCTTGTGTCCTATGAGATTGTTATTTACGAGCAGTTTGCACCAAAGTACCTCCGCCTTCGCAACTGCAACAGTCTCATCTCTATCTCTTGGTCGCAACTTTTCATTCAGTTTCGTACGAACGAAATTCATCCCCTCTTTGTTTTCTTCTTCTCTTTCTCTCTTTCTCTTTCTTTTTCTCTTTCATATTTTCTGGGTGGAGATTGCGGTGGACGATGACGTAATAAGGATACGAGACTAGGATACGCACTCTCTGACGAGCAGAGGAGGAACGCGTTCATCCACCGGCGACGGTGGTGGTGGATGCGTGGCGCCCACCAGAGAGAGCCGATCCGTTCTTGCTCTCGCACGACGAACGAAGAACGAAGAGGGGTAGAGGGGGCAAGGGGATGAGAGAGCGGTATAAATGTAGCCCGCGCAAGTTCCACCAATCATTCGCCCTCTGACCTCGAAACTCTTGAAGCTCTTTCGCCTCTCTTCAACTATTTGGCGGCACCCGAGAAACGTACCCTGCTGTCAGTCGTACGTACGCCACCACCACTTTGAGCACCGTCCCTCGTGACGCGACCCGCGCCTCGTGAAGAAGCGGTACCAAACGACAGAATAGACGTGGGACCAAGTGCTATCGTGGTTACACAACGAGGGACAAGTAAAGCGAAAAGTTCCCTTATCAACAAGATGACGATCGTGAGTATCATTCATTTTTCTTCATCTATTTTTTTATCTTTCTTTGTATCTTTATTTTTCACACATTTCTTTCTTTCTCAACAATGTGAATCACGAGTGAATACACAGTTTGCAAACTTGCATTAAGATTTAAGATCTGAGAACAGGATTTGAGAATTATGTCTTGCGAAAATTTTTAGCACATTATCGTCCATGTGAATGCAGTTATTATTTTTTTTTTTTTTTTTTTTTGTTAATAGTAAAGAATAATTTATAAAATGTGAAATTGAGGAAATCACAGAAAATATATCTCATATCTCTCGGAAACGAAAAAGGAAAGATTTTAATGCAATGTTTGTTATTTAAAAAACAGGATATAAAAGGATGATTTATATATCTGCATATTCCAAAAATCCCCGACGATTATTTTTTAAAGTATCGCAATTAATAATTATTCCATTCGCGCATCAATTGTAATCCTTGATCGCTTGAATGGTAACTATTATAACTGTTATTATAACAAGATATAAAAACATAAAAAAGAAATACATGTAATAATAAACTGTTATTATAACAAGATATAAAAACATAAAAAAGAAATACATGTAATAATAAAAAATTTTGCACACGTGTGACGTAAAAAAAATTAGCAGTGAATTAATGAAAACAATCGCGAGAATAACAATCAACAATCAAATGCAACAAAAACATTAGATTTTTGTAGCACGACATGTTTATAAAAAATTAATCAATTCTCATTTTATAGCGCTATATGTTTATGAAAAATTAATCGATTCTCATTTTATAGCGCTATATGTTTATGAAAAATTAATCGGTCGCATTACAACTGGACGTAAATTATACGTTTGTTCGCGCGTTTTAATTCGTTCGTTCGCCAGTTTTAGTTTTTATATCCGGAAGAGTGTAATCGAAACCGGAGGCGGGAAAGTGCTTTCCTCATTTTCCGTTGATGCACCGCTACAATCATGTACAACAGCAACATATATACGTTCTCATGAAATTTTCGAATTACCGTTCTCTGAAAGTCCAATCTGATGTTGACGAGTAAATCGATCGGTGTTTCGAATTACTTTTGCGAGAGAAAATATTTCTCGTAGATAAAATTGTTTTTGCTTTTTAAACTCGAGTAAATTTCTTGTAATGATGTGTTATTTGTTTAAATATTTATTAACGTAATGGAGAATATGATATGTTGAAATGTTTTTCTATTGTGCACTTTTGACACTTGTTAGACTTGTTAGGCATTCATAAATCAAAATCAAAACATTAAAATATGTTGCGATGGAAAAACATTTTTACATGTATCATCTTTTCAAATTAAATACATGCATTTTCGACTTATTTCGATTTAAATATTTCTTTACATTGCATACATTTGTAACCCGAAAAAGAGGCATGAACATTAAAATTTTATCACAAAATTCTCGATACTTTTTTTGAGAATTGTATTACGTCAAAGGGAAAACTTGACATGAAATAGATGTTGATTGGGCGAGACTCTAACAATATACGTCAACTGCGTTTGCAGAAACAGTTTTCGAATAGGCTACGCGCTTGATGTCATCGTTACTCTAGCAATGCGTCCCGTGATATCCGAAATGTCACATTCGATGGACTGTCGTAAATCTGTTAAAACTCGGTTAAAAACTATGTATCGTCAATATACATAGTGAAAAAAAGAAAATGAAAAGTATTATTTGTAATTATAGTTGAGAAATTTTTGAAAAACATATAACAAAAATGTGTGTCTACAGAATGTTTCATAATATGTAAGACCCATTTCAGGAATGCATTTAGCACTTAAAAACAATAAAAAAGCTTACACATCTATATTTCCGATTTAATCTTGTTTTCGATATATCTTATATATATTATAGCAAGTTTTATATTTTACAGTTCTCGATCTGCTTATTTTCACAAAAAATGTTCAAAATGATCCTTTTAAATATATACTTGTGGTTTAACATTGTTAGCACTAATTTTCTAATTTTTCAAATGTTCTTTGTATTGTTAGAAATTTACTTTTCAAGTATTTTTTATACTTGCTCAATCCCCTGGCGAAGTATTTCAATATTGTCAATGAACGTCTTATAGATAATAGATTATATATATAAATTGTTTTACATAACACTATTATATATCATTTTCTAAAAAACTGTTAAAGACAGATATTTTTTTTTTAATTTCATCAGAAAGCTTCTTTATACTAAACTTCTAAAGAGCTTCTTTATACTTGTATAAACAAAATTTTAAATCTATCATAAGGGAGACAAAAGAAGAGCAATTATAAAATTTAATTAAGTGGAACAATAATTAAATTCCTATACACTTTTTAAAATCTTATTAATTTTTTTTACTGTGTGTGTATGAAAGCATTTTTAATAATAACGCATACATTAACAATTACATAAATATTTGAAGTATAAGTATAAACGCGATATTCATTTTATTATTACATAACTAAATGTTTAGAAGTTAAGAGAAATTATTTTAAACATTTATTGAAATAAATAAATTAATTGCATTTATAGTACGATAATTTTTAGATTAAAATTATTGCAAGTGTTACTTCAAATTTTCTTAATTGTCGATGCTATTAATTGTCGTTATTATTAATGCTATTAATAATGCTTTTAATAAAGAAATATACAAATTTTATTAATAAGTTCTTCAAGAATATGTAAGAATTTAAATGCTGCATTAAAGTTATATAACATATAATAAAGTGAATGAACATATGCGTATATACAAGTACATTAGAAATTTACATCATATATTATATTAAATTAATAATTGAGAAGTAATTCATCTCTAATAATGAAATTCGAGAAAAAAATCGATTTTGAATATTTATTTATTAAATTAGTTATTTATTCATAATGTTGTGTAAGAGACAATTATTAATTTTCGAACATTTTGCAACAGATCCAATGTATTTATCGCAAGAATCTCCGACTTTTCGTTTATATTTCTTGGCCGCTTTAGCATATCAGAATGACGCGAGTTAGTTTTGCGAGTTAATATCGCGTGTGTATATATTCCCGACCGGAACGAACCATATCAAAGGGCAAATGTAACCGTTGCGGAGATGCTGGAGACATTATGTCTAGTCCGAGTAGTCGCCAGAGAGTGCATAAAGTTTCTTTACTCGCTGCCAGTTAGTGGACATGTATATGTATACATAGCGACCGTGAACGAGACATTTTACGAGAAGTGCTTTTATTTTCTCTCGATAATATATTAAGTATTCTTTTACGAGAATAATTCTTCGGATTCATCAATCTTCTTTAATAGTAAAATATTTCCTCCGCGATACATTAGTGGTCGAAATTATATCCCGATTATATTATTATAGATATCAACACGATAAAAGGCACGATAGATAATACAATAAATGAATCTGATCTTACGTGATCTTATTTCACATGATGTAATACTACTCAACGTTTTATCTCGGCCATGAAAAAACAGAGAAATCTTAAGAGATGTTACTTAAGAAAATACAATGATAATTCGACTGACCGACTTTTAAGGGGAAAACAATCTCGGATCGAAGCGATATAAGATGCCACTAACCAAAGAAATCGTCTTCTCTCGAAATAGTCTTATCACGTCGCTTGTATAAAGCTCGATAATAATCCGCGGGATTACGATAAAAATGATCCCGTTGAAGGACGATAGATTCGCGCGGATAACTCTTTATCGCCACCCGCAGTCGCTCGATAATTAATGAATTAGGGATTGCGAGAGATAAAAAACTTTGCTTGCGCGATTCTGATCGCATCATCGAGATAACGAGAAAAATGAATCGACGGATCGGGAAGATCGACAACGATCGAAGATACAGCGGAAGCGACCAGAAGCGTAGGAGGAGGTGATGCTTTTTGTATGCCACCAGACAAAGAGACGCCACGATGTCCCATATCCGAGATGAGCGTCGATTCCTCCTCGCTGCCCTCCTTCACTCCTACCGTGGGGTGATTTCGCACCCTGTCGCTCATCTTGTCTTGCTTCCCCGCATGCCTTATTCCCTTTTATTCTTTATTCTCTTCGGATCTCCCTCTCTTCCGTTATGTGCTGTCTGTTCTTGTTTCGCCTCGTTTCCCTCGACGGCGCCTTCACGCGCTCGAAAACGCGTATCGTTAACTCACCAATCGAGCAAACGAGCGAATCTATCGCGCGATTACGCGGATGAATCGAGTCGCGATCGTTTATCAGGGTTGAAAGAAAGTCAATGTTTTGCTTCCTCCGAGAGGCAGCTTTGAACGTTGCGAAAACTTCGCGAATTATTGAACGCAAAAACATGCGTGGGCATGGAACGATTTTATCGTATTGACTCTTTTCTCTCTTCCCCTTCTATCACTCTTAAATCAGAATGCAAAATGCTAGATGAATCGTACACATTCTTTGACAAAGATAGAGTTATGCAAATGCAGATCCTGTTTTCTTTTCTCTTCTTTTCTTGTTCTCCATTTTCGCAAATATCAAAGATATAAAGCTAGATTTAGGATATATTGATTGAGTTTCCGATCTTTTAAAGTAAATATGTAGGTTGTGGGAAAAGAATCTTAGACATCGATTCTTTGTAGCCAATTTTCGGTTAAACACAATGTCAACAGAAGTCATCATTTGTCGTGATTTTTCAATCTTTTGCATGAAATTTTTTGAAAGGAAAAGAATATATCGAATTCAATCTTTCTTTCTTTTATTCTTTATTTTCCTTTACATTTTTATCTCCAGCATAAAATTAGCTTTAAATTTGTCAAAGAATCTTTTTCTAAAATTTCTTTTCAGTGAAGACACTTTGTATTATATAGTAATTTTATCTTTCTCTCTTTTTCTCTGTCTTTCCCTCTTTGTCTACGTATATATATTAGGAAATTATATTTTATATTATGTATATTATTATAAAAATATTTATATGTTATATTTATCTCATAAAATATATATATATATATATATATATATATAAATATATATATTTATATTTATATTATATA